TAAAAAGTGGACCCTGAAGATGGGCTGTTAGAGTTGACTCGCCCACTGTCTGAAAGCAATAGGAAGCCAACTGTGGTGGTAGGTGGGGTGGTAATAACCCTTGGCCTGCAGTGATTTCACCCACAGTTTCATTTTGATGAGGTACAGGTAGACAGCAAGGTATGAGGAGATGAAACAACTGCTATGCTTAGTCAGGATGAGGGTAATATTAACTAAAGGGATTGTGGTGTGGCTTCTTTTGAAGGCACTGGAAGTCTTGCAAAAAAAATAAGTATATATATAAAATAACTATATACATATATAGTCTTAGGGCAGTTCACTGACAACTTAAGTCATTCTCTGAAAGTTAGTGTGCCTTTATTACAGCTCAGGGCAACTGCAGGGTAGACTTTGCTGAAAATCAGGCCCAGGATCTGATTATACAGCAGAGATTCCAAGAAAAGAACAGGGCCCAGAGCTCTGAAATGGAGATATTTAGGTAGACGAGCCTAAGAATTTCCAGTTCCTAGATTCCTCTGAGCCCTCCAGGCTGGCAGAAATAGCCTCTAACCACTTGCCAGAGAAAAATAGTCTCTATTTGCCTGGGGGAACATACAATGACCTAATCTGAAGCAGGTGCCTTTCAAGATAATTCTTGTTTTCTTCTAGCTATGTCCCCCAAACCCTTCATTACCTCCTGGCTAAAAACCAAAGTCAGGTTTCAGCATAGCCTGAGCAGGAAAGTACAGGCTCTGCTCTGGGAAGAAATAGCCCACATGCCAAAGGAATTGCAGGATCTGGCTAACAGGTATTAGCTGAAACTGGGAGGACTGAGTGTAGGAGTGTGTCTTGAGTATGTTAGACCGGGGGATGGAATACAAAGCCAGATGTGGTAAAATGCATTAATATGGGGGTACTCAGCCGTGATTCAGAGTTCCTAATAACTTAACAAGATGGCTTCTGGAAGTGTGGATCTGATAATGTTCTACATCAAATTAAGTGGAGATGGCAGAATTTCCTTGGTATCATATTGAAGAAAGGGTCAGAAGGCTCAGAGAGGTGGGAATGTTAGAATGGATTTTTTTATCTATGTCCTAAAAAAACCTACCACCTAGCTTTGTTCCCTGGGATGGCCAGAGTATATTACCTCCACTGAGGATACAAGGAATGCAGAATGAGGTGAGCACCAGCATCCTTGGAGAAGCCTGATAGTTTCTGTCTTCTATAGGCCAAGGTTGATAGTTGAGGATTCTGCCATGAAATTTAGCTTCCTAATATTAGTGAGGATGACGTAATTCCAGAATGACAAAGGTCAGGTGGTAGCAGTTAACAAAAGCCTGCATGAGATGTAATTACCATAATGGACAGCCAGGCCAAAGTGACAACCAACGTGCCTTTGCCTATAGGGCTATCTGATACTGGCTAATGGACCATGGTGTTACAGGGGCAAGATGGATGAGCAGGCAATAAAAGTGTTGCTTGATGTATATAATCAGAAATCTCAAGAAATGGTAAGCAAAATTCCAGTATTAGTTGCTGTAATGGAAAACTGTGGTCCCTCATCTAGTTTCCAGATCTCAGGCAGTTCACAAACCTAGAACCTTTGATTGAAAGGGAGACTTAGTGTTTAGCAGAACTCTAACACTGGATCCCTAACCTGTGGCATTAGAGTTGTTATGGAAGGAAGGGCCAAGTAGAAGTATCTGAAACCGTGCACACCAAAGTGTTAACTTAGAAGCAATACTGCACTCCAGAGGAAGTGCAGGTATTTGTTGAAGCATCAAAGACTTGCAAGACTTGGCAGGGATATTGCCATCCAGAACTGTGTCTCACTTGCGAGGATTTTGGAAACTTATATTCCCTTCTGTCCTGGATAATGTTGCTGATCTCTTTGTTGTGTATCCTGACTACACTGACTTCCATTGGTAGCCTGTAATAAGGAAATCTGTTTAATTTACCCAAGCAGTATCTTTATCTTTCCATCAATCTGAACCTGCTATTGATATTTATCAATATGGTCTTCACATAGTAGGTTATGCATTGTAAATATCTTCTCCCAGTGTGTGGCTTCTTTTTCCACTTTTGTTGTCGTACATTTCATCCTTCCAAAAGTTTATCTTAACGTATTCAAGTTGATCAGTATTTTCCTTTTTGTCTTTTACTTTTGTGGCTTTTAGGAAAGCCTTTACTTCAAGACCATAAATACATTCTGATAGAATTTCTTGTACTACTTTTATAGCTATTCTATAAATATTACATAAAAATATATTATATTATATATAATTATTGTATAAATTACATATTATTCCATGACTCTCCTTTTACTTTACTGATTAGAATTTGGTCTCCTACTGATTCTGCCTCAGTGTCTATCCATGGTTTTAGTTTGGCTACTTCTGTCTCATTGTTGACTGTATATGATTGTTGTGATGATCTGTGCAATTGATATCAGATAAAACCTTCTTCATTCCAATCCATCTTTCATTCTGCCATAACAGTTTCCCTTCTAAAATACACAAAATACAGACTAAATCATCCTCTTCTCTGCTTAGGAGCTGTTGATGGTTCCCAAGCGAAAAATTATATTAGCAAACATTTACATAGCACTTACTATGGGCTAAGCACTGTTTTAAGGGTTTTATATATATTAATTCACTTAATTCTAAACTAAATAAAAATATGAGGTGGGTAGTACTATTATTTCCCCCCATTTTACAGATGAAGACACCAAGGCTTAATGAAATTAAGTAATTTGGAAGAACTGGAGATTCAAACCATGCTTTCTGGCCCCAGAATTTGGGATTTTAACCTCAACATTATACTGTTTTTCTAACCAAGGCTCCCCGCTGAACACAGAACTAAGTCAAAATTTCTTAGCACATTTTCCAACTACCAACTGTATTTGATCACACTTCTTTTTCTGTCTCATTTTCTGCCCCTGGATCTATTGCAGTCTGTGGCTTACCACACTAGACAGATTATTTATGTAACTTGCTGTTTATGTCTATGACTGTACCTTACTTAGGCTTTTCTCTGAGTCAGGGATGTCCTTCTAAATGTTCTTCATCTTATTTTTTTCATTCGCTCATTCCAACAAAGATTTATTGAGTCACACTCTGTGCCAGCTGCCACGCTTGGGTGCTAGGTTATCACAGTAAATAGGCAAATTTCTGTTGCAGGGGTCTTTCTGTTAACGAGTGGCAGTTACAGTTCAGGGCTAAAGCGTCACCTTCTCTAGAATCCTCTGTTTTCTTTCCAGTTCCAACCTTCATCTTGGGACTCCTATCACATTTTTTAAACCTTTCTCACAGCACATTTCACGGTACACCTTTTTATCATGGTTAGTTGTGTCATTTGCTTCTTGTAGGGAAGGTGTGGGTTCATCTGTGAATGCATGGATGATGACATTCTAAAGAAATGGTTGCATTTCATTGAATGAAAGGATGAAGAAGTTAAAAAAAAGTCTAAATTAGGTGGCGAGGCAGGAAGGAGAGATTTTTGTGATTTTTTAAAAAAAATACCATATATATGTACATATTTGGGACAGTCCAAATGATGAACAAGTAAATTAGGAATAGAAAGAGTACTAACCTTATTTATTCTTTCTCTAATAGTAACTTTAGATGATGATAAAGACTCTTGAATGGGCAAAAAGGATCCCTGCAGCCGGCAAAGACACTAATTATAAGGAAACAGCAATTTACATTATTTATAAGGAAGCTATTTACATTATTTAGCCCTGTCAGACACAATAGTTGCAGAGCTCCATTCTTTCACTACAGTGAAAGGAATAAAGCAAAGTGTCAAGAAAATAGAAAAGATATTCTAATAGCTGCATCTCATTACAAGAAAGATAACACCTCTAAAATGTTAAAAAAAAATCCTTCAAATATAATTTAAACTGAACAAAATGGAAACTTCCATCTCAGTGTATAGCATCCATTTAAATATTCAGACAAGCTTCCAAAAACTATTGAAAGTTAAGCATTGTTAACATTAGTATGTGCAAGGAGGAAAATGACTAAGATGCAATGTTTCATAATTCAAGTATTTGAATTTTATTAGTCACATTTTCTTTTACCAGTGACTTTGAAATGTAAGTGTCTGCACTATGAATAAGGTTGTTTGTGAGAGCAGCCAGATCGGGGGGAAAACCTCACTTTATCTGTTTTATTTTTATTTTCTTTCCTCCACTCTGACCACTTTAATTTAATTTTATCCTGTAGTTTCACTTTCATCAATGTAATAGATAGTACTCAGTGGCAAATTACACCAGCTCTTGATCTGAAGTAGACAAGTCTGTTATGTGAGAACAAGGAGAAGATAAGAAGAGAAAGATTTACCACGCTGAGTTTTTTTTTAGAGAAAGATCTTTTAATATTTTTTTTAAATGGCCCAAGAATGATTTCTTTAGGGCTAAATTCTTTGAAGTTTTAACATTTTTATTGCTTACTTAAAGACAAGATAAAATCTTGATCAAAGGATGATTTCTACGTCCTGATTGGAGAACTGAACTTCTACAGGGAGGTGTCAGAGCACCTCACTGCTTGCCAGGAAGGTTCTCTGGCTATAATTATGTGCCTTGAAGAGCAAAATCATCATCATTTTCCTTCAAAGAATATTAGAGTACAGTACACATGGAATATTAGGCCAGCCTCACAAATCAGCACAGGCCCACAGAGCCTGCAAGAAATTAGGTCACACCTGAAAGAAATCAGGCTGTGGTCCAATAAACTTCTTAATCTTAAGTGAGAAATTGGGCTCACAGGGTGATAAGGTCACTGTCTTTATTTTTAAGTGTGACAAAACCAGTAACAGTTTTCAGTGTTAAAGACCTCTTTTTCTAAGCTATCAAATATTTTTGGTCCTTCGCTTGGATAAATTTTGGCATTGCATAATTTATAAAGAAAGCAGGTTCCCTGCTAGTTGGAAACCCACACTTTAAATAAATAAATAAACTTGCCCATAGCATGCAGGGCAAAAATAACTTCTCTTGTCCCCAAATATTTCCTTTGAGGCCTGTAGTTTCCCTATTAGAAGCAAAGTCTCCTAAAATCCCTGTTTAAAATGCAAAAGTGTTTTGAGAGTTAACACTTCAAGCATTAGTACACAATGATGTCCAGTAGTTAAGCTTGAGTAAAATGCTCATTAATGTAGTGATAATTAGGATAACTCTGAAATACAAATGAATAAACATAAAGTAATCATAATTACTAGGCACAGACATCATTCCCACAGCTACAGACCTCAAGGTACAAACAGATGGACTAGAATGGATCAGTTGCATGTACTTGATTCTTAAACTGCTTGTCAGATATTTGCCTAATTTCATTTTGATCGATAAGCTTAGTTTTTCGAAGATCATCAATACAGCTTATTCATTTTGAGCACACGCTTTGCAGTCAGAAGGCTGAGACCAGGTCCCTGACAATATAGGTTACTCCGACCTTGGTCAAATGACTCACCCTCGGTAAGCTTCAATTTCTTAGACTGTGAAATGGAGATACTAATAATATCCTAAGCTGTAAAACAGTTATGATGATTCAATGAGATAAGATTATGTTTCAAATGATTAGAACAATGCCTGGCACATATTAATGATCATCATCATCATTAAGTGGTCGAAATGGAAAAAAAGTATAGTTTGAATTTGTGATCGTAAGTTTTTAGCTCTGTTCGCTGGCTCTCTGTCCAGAACTTTCTCTTTATTCTCATTTCATACAGCGACGCCAGTGACAAAGAAGGCAAGAAACCCTCAGGAGCAACATTCCTTTCTGGACCCGGTTCTTTCTTCCTTTGCCCTTGAGGAGCCGCTGTATTTCCCCGAGAGCGCGCTGGATGCCTGGTTGCCACGAGACGGTCGCCAGGCAACCGCGTGTACACACACCCCAGGTCCTGCCCGGGTTTCGCCAATATGGCGGCGGAAGGCACTTCTTCTCTCTCTCTATCCAGCAAGTCTCCCACATCGGTGTCACCGCCGGGACAGCCACCGACCCCGCCCCCGACCTCAAGTGCGGTCTCGCAGTCGTCCCTGGAGTCGAAGGCGAGCTCTCCGAGCCCACTGCCTCGCTCCACCTGCCCCGAGGACTCGTTGCCCCTCGCCGTGTTTTATGGGCCGCTGGACGCGAAAAACCCGCTCCTGGCCTCCTGCGAAAAGGAGATCCGGGACTTGCTAGGCTTTATGAAGAGAAAGAAGGCTTTAGCGACAACGGAGGAACAGAAGCATGAATTCCAGCGGCGTTGGTAAGCGGAGGCAGGGCGCTGGGGCGGGCGCTGGCCGGAGAAGGGCAACTCTCCGGGCCAGAGGAGGAGACGCCGCTGAGGATGCAGGCGGTGGTCCCAGAGCTGGGTCAGCGTTGCGCACGCAGGACCTGGCCGAAGGACCCTGGAGATATAGGCCAAGTTTAAGAAGTGGAGACTCGTCGCTATTACAGTCCTAATTCCTGGTAAATGTTACAGCTTGGTTTGCTGCTCAGGTCAAAATAAAAATCAACACAGAAATGTTTCCTAACTCACCACTTGTTTTGTTTCTGAGTGTCTCCTAATTGCTACTCCACACTAATAAACTTTTGGCTCACTTACAGGTTTCACAACTTTCCATGTTGTGGGTACACTTTTGTATACAGAGTAAAAGGAATAAGTTTAAAGTAGCTTAGATTCTTGAAAAAGTTAGTTCTTCATGCCATGAAGTAGGTCATTCTGTGAACATGTGCCCTTGAATTCCTTTTTGCATTGTTATTAGAATCACAGTGACTTTTTCTAGATTTTATGACTCATTTTGCACATCCGTTTGCCTTTTTTTGGTTCCTATCACCCTGTTATTACCACAAATTGCAAGCTACCTGTTTTTAAGTTTCTTTCCTGTTTATGTTACCATCTTTCTTTCTCAGTCAAAATATATTGCAAACTGAACAATTATAAATGTAGACCAGTGGCAGAGAATACCAGAGTAGTGAATAGTTTCACTTATATTTTTCATTTATGCATTTAATATGAAGAAATAGTTTTAACTTATATTTTACTATTCATTCATGCATTTAACTATTTATTGAGCACCTACTATATATCAAGTACCATCCTAGGAACTAGGACAACATCAAGTTAAAAGATATAAAAATCTGTATCCTCATAGAGCATATATTTTTGTGACTACAGACAGCTACTAAACAAATATATAAAGAAATTATTTTACAAGGAGATAGTGCTAGGGAGAAAATTAGAACAGGGAGTGGGGATGGAGGATATGGGGTAGGTGTTGCAATTTAAAATGGGGTGGCTGAGAGCAGGGTCAGGGAAAGTCAGGAAAAGTGGCCTTTGAGAAGGAAGAGAAGGAGATATGGCAGCAAGTGATGAGGATTTCTTTAGAAAGAGTTGGCCACACAGGGAGAATAGCAAGTGTGAACGTCCTGGGGTGGGATTGTGACTGTGGGAAGAACAGGTTTCTGGCAAGAGCGAGGTAGATCAAGAGTTTGGTTTTAGATATATTAAGGTTGAAACGTAACTCAACATCTAGGCAGACCTGTTATGTAGGTAGCTGGACATTTGAGTCTGTAGGTCAGAGGTCATTTGGGAGCCATCAGTATATTAATGATATTTAAATCATGACACTTGATAGAATAGCTAAGGGACTAAGCGTAGGTGTAGAGTCCAAGGACTGAACCCTGGGATGCTCCAACATTGACAAGTAGGGGAGCTAGGACGAAACTGGCAGAGACTAAGGAGTGGCCAAGGAGGTAGGAGGGAAACCAGTTAAGTGTGTGGTGTACTGGAAGCCAGGTAGTGAAAGTGTTTCAAGGAGAAAGGAATGATTGATCAATTGTGGCAAATCCTGCTGATGGGCAAGTAAGATGAGAACCAAGAACTGACCAAGGAGAGCACATTGCATACCTAAGCTGTATATATTTATATTTAAAACATTTCTGTGTTTGTGTCTTAGACAGCACTTTATCTTCCCATCTCCATTACCAGCATTCCGATCCAAACCACCACCATCTCGAATTTCCTTGCAGCAACTCAAGTCTCAAATCTATCTTTCACACAGCGGTCAGGGTGATCTTGATAAATAAATCACCCACTCCCCTACCTAAAGTCTTTCTATTGCTTCCCATTGCTTTTAGAATAAAATTAAAACTCCTTCTGGTGTCCTACAGGGTCTGAGGATCTGGCCCTGCCTACCTCCCCCATCTCAGCTCATTCCTCACTTCTCTCTCAGGACTTTCCAGGGAAACAGATCCTATTGTTTCTCACCCTAGGGCCTTTATATTTGCTGCCTCCTTTATCTGAAATGTTCTTTCCTCAGCTTTTCAAATATCTGGCTCCTTTTCTTTCAGGTCTGAGCTCAGTTGGTACTTCCTTAGTGTGATCCTTCCTATCTAATGCAGGTTCGCTCGTCAATTTGTATTTTTTATTTACATGTTTTCTTGTGTATTATCTGTTTCCCCCACTAGATTGTAAGCTCCCTGATGACTCTGGATGATGCATCTCTTTTTCATTTTTCTATCTCTAGCACCTAGCCTGGGGGTTGGGACATAGTAAACATTCAATGAATATTTGCTATTGAAAGAATTCAAAGGTTATTATCCTTGCATTCTCAGTAATTGTTAATGTTATATATGGGAAAGTAGACCTGGGCCAATCAGTAAGTACAGCATCTGTCCCATCTTGAAACAGACTATAAGAGAATCACAAACATTAAGGATTGACATAGACCTTAGCAATCTAACCTGTCATATAATTTAGGATTTATTTACTCAACAATTTTTATTGAGTGTCTACTATATGCCAGGCATTGCGCCATTCATGGGTTATACAGTGGTGAACAAAATAGGTGTGGGAATCTGTGCTCACGGAGCTTGTAGTCTAGAGAGGGAGATAGGCTTTCAATGAGTCATTAAGTCAACACACAAACAAAAGTGCCATGAAAGAAGAAGCTACTGAGCACTTCCCTGCACCAGGCATTGTACTAGGTGCTGTGAACCTAGTACACCTAGCCGGCAGTGAACCAGACATAAATCCTTGCCCTTTGGATGCTTATATTCTAGAGGAGGAAATAGATGATGAAGATACTAAGTAAGTCCATTTTATGGTGACTTAGAAAGTGATAAATGCTAGGGAGAAAAATAAAGAGAGGAAGAGTTATGGAATAGGAGACAGGAGGTTGCAATTTTCAATAAGATGATCAGAGTAGATGACCCTTGAGCAGAGGCTTAGAGAACACAGTGGGGACCTGCTGTCAAATGAATGGTGAGAGAAGTAACATTAAGCTGAGATTAGAAGGACGCCTGGCAGTCGAACATGCAGAGAGAGAGGATAAACAGAGGGAACAAGCATGTGGGAAGATCTTGGCAGGAAAGAGCCAGGGACTTTGGAGGAATGGACAGAAGCCGGTTTAGCATAGCTTAGTCAGTGTGGGTGCAGTGGTGAGATGAGATTAGAGCAGTAGGTAGGGCTTTGGAAGGTTTTAGAGGCCATTTTTAGAGTTTGCATTTATCCTGAATGCAGTGGGAACCATTGGGTTTTGGGCAAGGAATTAACTTGATGTGATTTTTTTTTAAAAGTGTTATTTTGGTGATCTTGTCCTAATGGAACAAGAATGGGAGTGTGGAGACCAGTTAGGAGTATAGGAGGGAGGATTTGCTTTCATAACATATTTGACAGATGGTTATTTTTTTAAATCAAAATTTGTTTCTTTTTACAATCATAGGAACTTCCATAAGCATAAAAATTGATAGTATCTAAAATATAGATTTTGATCATACGAGCAATGTCATTAAATTTAGGGTGTGATATGTTTTTAAAAAATATACTTTTGTTATAAGCACATAAGATTTAGATATTCTGTTTATATAGCTATGATTTTCTATCTTAGAAAATTCTAACTATCCAGCAGCAGCTATAATCAATCAGCAATCCAAAGTATATTACCATTCTTCTCTTAAATGACGTACATTATATAGCATATATTATAGTTTCCTTGTTTAATCATTATGTAAGCCATTCCCAATGAGCAGTCTTAACTTGAACTTAGGGTTCACTTAAAAAAAAAAAAAGTTCTCTTCTTATATAAGCTTGATTGATTTAAGCAAGCTGGTATTTTTCTTTTGTGGGTAACAAAGCTAGTCATCATTATCTCATCCGTGAGGTTTGAAAGAATTAACTCTTTCATCTACATAATTTAAGAATTCTAGCAAGACTTGGTGAATTTCTGGGATTCATTATATATAGTCTAATACTGTGGCATTTTATGAAGCAGCAAATGAAAGTAGAAAAGGTAAAAAAAAAACAAAAGAAAAAACCTCTCCCTTTTTAATCTTCTATGGGCTGTATTTGCCCAGCTATTTATTTGGCATGGTTATTTACTACTTGGTACATGAATATATTTTCTTATTCCAAAATATTATTAATCAGTCCATGAAGGCAGAAGTACCCTGTCCCCCACTCCTCCCTTGTCTCTCAATCAATATCATTTAATTTACCTGAATGAATTAATTGACATGTTTCTGTTGAGGTTGTTGCATTAATATCCCAACGTGTACATCATAAGTCCCACAGCTATCTTCAATCCTTAAGTTTAGGTTCCTGTCTGTATTAGTCAGCTTGACCTACTAATTACTAAATACTCAGTTTGGGCTGCCGTTAACAAAATACCGTAGACTGAATGGCTTAAACAACAGAAATTTATTTTCTCACAGTTCTGGAGGCCAGAAGTCCCAGGTCAAGGTCTAGCAGGGTCAGTTTCTGGTGAGAGCTCTCTTCCTGGCTTGCAGATGACCACTTTGTTCTCAGATAGCCTTTCCTCTGAGAAAGCGCAGACAGAGAGAGAGAGCAAGCTCTCTGGTGTCTCTTCAGAGAAGGGCATTAATCCCATTGAACCAGGGCCCCACCCTTTGGTCTCACTAACCTTAATTACTTCCTTAGAGTTCTCCTCTCCAAATACACACTAGGGGGTAAGGGTTCAACATATGAATTTTGGGAGGACACACACATTCAGTACGTAACATTGTTATCTAGAAATTTATGAGATAGGATTGGAGAACTGTTAAAGGAAATTTGGACTTTTCCTAGAGGTTTTTATATTTTCCAAGAGAGAGGGAAGGAGTAAATGTTAACTAAATTAATAAACAAAATAAACAGTGATCTGCTACACTTTGAAACTCTGATTAGAAACTATTTTAAGAACACTTTGTTTTACTTGGGGAAGGAAGCATAACCTTGAATGGACTGATGGGATATTTGAATCCTTTGTAGAAAAGAATAAAATAAAAACAAGGAATTTTTTTTCCTAGTCATTTATTTATTTATTCATTCGTTCATTCTTTCAACAAATATTTATTGAGTGTCTGCATGTACTAGATAATCACTGCTCTTGGGGCTGGGCAATGAATAATATATTTGAAGTCGTCACCCTCAGGGAGTTTACATTCCAGAGGACTGGAAGGCATAGCAATATACTAGTTAAGAGCATGGATGCGCTGAGCATCAGTTTCACCAACTGTATATTTGGATATTGATATTACCCATCTCAGGGTTGTTGTGAAAATGAAATGAAAAAAATGCATGTTAGCAAAAGACCCAGAATAGCCAACACAATATTGAGGGAGAATGAAATTGGAGGACTGACACTACCTGACTTCACGATTTGCTATAAAGCTACAGTCATCAAGACTATGTGGTGTTGGTGAGAGAATGGACAAATAGAGCAATGGAACAGAGTAGAGAGCCCAGAAATAGACCCACATAAATATAGTCAACAGATCTTTGACAAAGGAGCAAAGGCAATGCAATGGAGCAAAGATAGTCTTTTTAACAAATGATGCTTGAACAACTGGACATCCTCATAGTAAAAAACGAATCTGAACACAGACCTTACATCCTTCACAAAAATTAACTCAAAATGGATCATAGAGCTAAATGTAAAATGCAATGATATAAAACACCTAGAAGATAATACAGGAGAAATCTAGATGACATTGGGTTTGGCAATGACTTTTTAGATATAACACCAAAGGCGTGATCCATGAAAGAAAGAATTGGTAAGCTAGACTTCATTAAAATTAAAAATTTCTGCTCTGTGGAAAACACTGTTAAAAGAATGAAAAGACAAGACACAGACTGGGAGAAAATATTTGCAAAGGAGATCTCTGATAAAGAACCATTATCCAGGGCCGGCCCCGTGGCTTAGCAGTTAAGTGCGCGTGCTCCGCTGCTGGCGGCCCGGGTTCCAATCCCGGGTGCGCACTGACACACCACTTCTCCGGCCATGCTGAGGCCGCATCCCACATACAGCAAGTAGAAGGATGTGCAGCTATGACAGACAACTATCTACTGGGGCTTTGGGGGAAAAATAAATAAATAAAATCTTAAAAAAAAACAAAACTATTATCCAAAATATGCAAAGAACTCTTAAAACTCAATAAGAAAACCAACAACCTGATTAAAGAAATAGGCCAAAGACATTAACAGACACCTCATCAAGGAAGATACATAAATGGCAAATAAATATATGAAAAGATGCTCCACATCATATATCATCAGGAGGATGTGGAGCAACAGAAATTCACTCATTGCTGGTGGGAATGAAAAATGGTTCAGCCACTTTGGAAGACAGTTTGGTGGTTTCTTACAAAACTAAACATAACTCTTATTGCATGATCCAGCAATTGTGCTTCTTGGTATTTTCCCAAAGAAGTTGAAAACTTATGTCTATAAAAAATCTCACATGGATGTTTATAGCAGCTTTATTCAAAATGCCAAAACTTGAAAGGAAACAAAATATCCTTCAGTAATTGAGTGGATAGATAAACTGCGGTATATCCAGACAATGGAATATTATTCAGTGCTAAAAGGAAAGTCATAAAAAAACATGGAGGAATCTTAAATGCATATTACTAAGTGAAAGAAACCAATCTGAAAAGGCTACATACTGTATTGTTCCAATTATATGACATTTTGAAAAAGACAAAACTGTGGAGAGAGTAAAAAGATCAGTGGTTGCCAGGGGTTCGGGAAGGGGGATAAATAGGCAGAGCACAGAGGATGTTTAGGGCAGTGAAACTACTTATGATACCATAATGATGGATACATGTCACTATATATTTGTCCAAACCCATAGTATAACATCAGGAGTGAACCCTAATGTAAACTATGGACACTAGGTGATAATGATGTATCAATGTAGGTTCATCAGTTGTAACAAATGTACCACTCTGGTAGGTGATGTTGATAGTGGGGAGGCCACGTGTGGGGGCAGGAGGTAAATGGAAAATCTCTGTACCTTCCAGTCGACTTTGCTGTGAACCTAAAACTGCTCTAAAAAAATTGTCTATTTAAAAAAATGCATATAAAGAGCTTCGACCAGTGCTTGGCACAAAGGAAACAATAGATTTAACTATAATTACATTTATCAATAGTTAGACATTAACAATAAGGCACATTTTGTATTCAGCACAAGATAAGTTTTTTGGGATTGCTTGCTAATTAATTGAGGTTTCCTGCTGACTTTGAACATATCATTTTATTTTATGATTTTTACAGTGCCACCTCTTTGTTTAACATGTGGACCAAATACGCCCCCCGGCTGCCAGCTGCCTATTACAACGAAAAGCTTCTGAAGGTTGGAGATAGGCTTTGTGAAATGAAAGTAAGTGCCTCCGGAGTAAAAAGAGCCTAAATGAAACTCATTTGGCTAATTATTATTATTATTTAGTTTGATACGGTTCTTATTTTACATGATTTGATTTTTTTTTCTCAGAAAAATATAAATGAATACGTAAAATCTTAATGAGGCACAGTAACCAAGGAAGCGTTTGTTTTTTAATTTTGTAGTTGAGATTCTCCAGAGGTGAGAGACTCCTGAATGGAAAGACAGCTGGCTGGGGATGGGCAGGAGCACAGCCTCTAGTTAACAGAGGGTGTGGTAGGCGCCCAACAGGAAATGCTGAGTCATCATGCTCCTACCTTGTACAAAGGAGCCCAGACACCACTTCCTGTTGTTTTCACATGGCTGGCCTTGCCCAGCGGACAACTCGCATGGCTCCTGGGCTTGTTGCTGTGTTGTCTGGTGCCCAGTGCTCTGTTTTAATGACCTTCAGCTCCTTCTTGATGTTTTGCTGTATGCAATTATAGCAGTCATTCCATACATGACCTGTTTCTTGCTCAGTATTGTATTCCAAACTGAGTGTGTGCCCTATTTCTAGTTCCATATCAATGTCTAGGTCTTGGATTGCGGTGGACTCATGGACTTGGTTTGATAAGACCACACCATGGCTGGGTTTTCAGTTAATGTGAGTTTTTCCCTTAAGCTCTGGCATAGGACCAAATTATTCTAAGTATATATGAGTCTTTTACGCGTCTAGTATCCTTGGACCAAGAGTTGTTTTATCCAAAGTGATTTTAGGCCAGCCATGGGCAGTATTCAGTGTTTTCTCAATCTTTAGTTTTTCAGCTTCATTTTCCTCCTCTGTTTCTGTTTTCTGGACTTGAATCCTTTTGGTCTGAGAGGGAAATTTACCAAATAGAGGATAAGATGTGGAGGAATTTTCATAATGAAGAACAAAGACCCATTTTCTGCTGCCAAAGTAGGAGAATCAACTTAGCTCCATATATTTGGACCGTGGCTCTTAGAAACTTGAAAATACAGAGTTTGGAAAACTACAGGAAAAAATCCAAATGAGATCAAACTTGTAAGCTATATTCATTCATGTGAAGTGAAGTAATAGTTTCGACAGGAATTAGAAGAGCTCCACCTCTCGGTTTTTATGCCTCTTCTCAATGTAAGAAGATGGTGCTTGATACACAGCAAGGTTTGGGATGTTTGAGGAGTATCCAGGTGGGTCGAGTGGATATTGGTGGAGGGAGCAGGAAGGAGCATCTGAGAGGTGGATAAGGCAAGTTGGTGATGGGTAGTGGCTAAGGATTCAGAATATTTCAGCGAGGCCCAGACAGGATATTTTAAAATTTACTTAAAGGAACAAAGAAAACATTTTATATACTTTTCACTGATGGGAAAGTGGGCCAATAAAGGTATTTATAATCCCCACAACAAACTTGAGTTGTTACTTTGGTTTCTAGAATCTTTTTATTTTTATTTTGGTTATGGTAAAGATTATCTTGTTGGAATACTCTTGTTTTGAACCTAGACTTGAATTCATTGTATGAATCAAGTTAGAACGGAAAAGATTCAGAATTAATTAGTGAACAAGTAACAAACAAGTCAATAGAAATAGAAACAAAACAGCATTTGACTGTGGATGCCTCCCAAGGGGCGAGGTAACCTGAAAGACAGTTCACACCCAGGGCAGTTGCTTTTCCTGGAGACACAATTGCAGGGGAGGAGGCTGAGGAAGGGTTGCAGCTGACTCATATTCAGATCCCTGCTCACATCCACCACACTGAAACTCTCCAGGTCAGCTGTGCCCTGTGGGCTACAGAAATGAGGCATCTGATGTTGTAATGGGGACATGAGCATGAATTAAAACTAACAAGAATCATAACTAACAATAGGTCAGACGTTTTTGATTTGTCCTGATGCAGCTTCAGAGACTGTTGACAGATGAAGAGAGAGAGCGCACCAGCTCATCATCTGCATTTCTTTCTCATCTCTTCTCCCCTCTTTCCTCTTCTTCCTCCCTCCTTTCCCTCCTCCTCCCTCTTTCTCTCCCCTCCTCTCTTTCTCCTCCTTCCTCTCTTTCTCTTCCTTCCTCTTTTACTCTTTTCTTCCTTCCTTCCTCCCTCCCTCCCCTCCTTCCCTCCCTTCCTTCCTTCTCCTTCCTTCTTTCCTAGTGTCCTTCCTCTTTCTTTCTCCCTCTCTCTCTCCCTCCCTCTCTTTTTCTCCTCCTTTCTGCCCTCCGCCTTCTTTCTCTTCCTATCTCTTCTCTCCCTCTCTCCTTCCTTCCTTCTTCTTTCTCTTCTCTCTCCCTCCTTTCCTCCTTCCCTCCTTTCCTCCTTCCCTCCTTTTCTCCCTCCCTCCCTCCCCTTCTGCACTCTTTTTTTCCTTCTTTTTTGGAGCTTAGGAGGTATCAGAGACACAAAGCTAATAATGCAACTCATCTACCTCTCTGACTGAACAGGTGATCATGATCTGGTGATGTTGAATTTTTTGGATCTTGAGGATATACAGGTATTACCACACATAATGCCTTAGTGAATATTCTTACCTTTGAGATCGGGATGGTCTCATCTCAAAATAGCCTTGTTTTGAGAAGAATTAAGTGAAATAATGCACATGTGTTGCCAAGTGAAGCGTCTGTCACGTAATACGTGTTTGGAAATGGTAGTGATAGCGGTAGTAATAATGTAATGGTGGTAGTAATAGTAGTAATAGTAATAATCAACACTGGTAGTGTTAAGAATAATATACATATTACCTAATTTTAATAATGATAAGCAAAATGATATTTTGAAACATTCATCAAAACCTCTTTTTATTTCAGGAATATAAATTGGCCCTTTTACAGTGCTATGGAAGATATCTTCAGCAGTTCAGCATCGACTTGGATGAGAATAAAGCAGATGTGACTCAATTCAAAACTGTCTTTTTTCCAAAAGGCTTTGGAGACAAAACAGCTGCACATACAGTGAGATGAAAGCAGTAGCTAAAATAGCGACAATTTACAATTGGCTATGCAATATGTCCTTTAGTTGACAGCTTCTAGATGTCTTTCATTTGCTTAGCATAGCATTTACTCGTGCGCTATACGTTGCTTAATGAATGTTTTCAGTACTGGATAAGAAAAGGGACTTAAACTTTGTCAAGATGCTTTGGAGATGGTGTCACTATAATCACTCATTCATCCAGCAGACAGTTATTGTTATTATAATAACTAATATTTGTAGAGTGCTTTTAGTTTACAAAGTTCTTTGGAAAACATATTTGATCCTCACAATAACTGTATGAGTTAGATACCATTATTATCCCCATTTTACAAGAGAGGAAAAAGAAAGCTCATCACACAGTTAGTAACTAGTGGCTCAGGAGATCAAACATAGATCTTTTGATACAGAAATTTTATGCTTGATTTCTAGTATACTAGTATGATTGTGTTAATTGCTACCATTGATGCACTGGTTGAGTAGTTACCATGTGCTGGATACTCTTCCATAGGCATTATGTGAATGATCATCTTGCAGCCTCACTACAGTTCTAAGAGGGGGGTACCATTATGCCTCTTTTACAGATGAGGAAACTGAGGCTTGTTAGAGATTAAGAAACCCAGCTTACTTAAAGCACTGGGCAGAGTTGGTGTTTGGACCCTAATCAATTTGACTCCAAAGCTATGTTATTCCAAACTTGATGATTATTCAAGGCTTTGGAAACAGCATGTGGTTTAATAAGCAGAAAATCTCAAGGCATGTTTGGCTGCACACTGAGCAGTTCAATTTGGCTCTGCCATAGATGCATGAATGAGAATACTGTGCAATATAAGTTGGCACCCCAGTATGAAGAGTGCTGAATGAAAAGCTTAGGAGTTTGAACTTTTAAGGCCCCTGCTACACCACCCTGGTTCAGGCCGCCATATCTCTCTAGTGTACCATTGCGTTACCCTGCTTCCGCTCAGCCTCCCTGGCTTAGCGTCAGTGCACTGGTGAGGTCCACTGCCTGGAAAGCTTGTGTCCTAGATATCTGTGTGACTCATTCTTCACTTCCTTCAGGTCTCCTGCACTCGCTGCTTTCTTTTCTTTTCTTTTTTTTTTTTTTGTGAGGAAGATCAGCCCTTTGCTAACATCTGCCAATCCTCCTCTTTTTTTGCTGAGGAAGACTGGCCCCGGGCTAACATCCATGCCCATCTTCCTCCACTTTATATGGGATGCTGCCACAGCATGGCTTGCCAAGCAGTGCGCCGGTGCACGCCTGGGATCCGAACCGGCGAACCCCGGGCCGCTGCGGTAGAGCACGCGCATTTAACTGCTTGCGCCACCGGGCCAGCCCCTATTTTTCTTTATATCATTTATTATCACCTGATACATTTTTGTTTGTTTATTGTTTTATTGCCTATCTTCCCTTCTAGAATGTGAGCTTCATGAGGACAAGGACTGCTCTAGGCTCTAATCTCTAGCGCCCAGAATAGTGCCTGGCTTGTAATAGATGCTCAGTAAAGCCTTATTGAATGAATGAAGCGATATAGTAAGAATTATTAATCTAGAAGCAGTACACAGAATAGATTAGAAGGAAAAAGACTGGAGGCGGGAGGTAAAGCAATGAAGCCAACATAAGAGCATGCCAGCAGGTCTGTTGTGATGGGCATGAAAAGATATGAAGAATTTGTTTTTTTACATGCTAAGTTTGAGGTTCTGGCACGACACTGGCACACTGTATTTCTCAACAAATGTGTGTAAAATGAGTGAGTAAGAGAATCAATGGATTGAAAATTTAGTCTGGTTGCAACTTGACAATGCAGAGCTAGAGGTCTTGAGGTTTTGTTACAGAAATAGATTTTGGATTAAATGCATAAGTATCATAGATGAAGGAGTAATAATGAAGAAATTACCGTCAGAATATTAACAGCAAAGTTTTGTGCAAAGATACTTAATCATGTTATTTAATGACCCCCATCATAGGTACTGTAGGGAGGCCTGATGGCAGAGTTGGTAAGAATTTGGTCTCTTGAACCAGCCTGCCTGGCTTCAAAGAGCTGCTGTACCACTTCCTACCAGTGGGACCTTGGAGAAGTTACGTAATTTCTTTGTGCCTCAGTTTCCTCATCTGTAAAACAGAAGTAATAACAAGACCTACTTCATAGGGTTGTTTTAGGATGGCTGAGATAATAAAGGACTTAGAAAAGGGCTCCACTCTTCAAACCATGTTAGGTAACATCTGCTTCTAAAAGAGAGAGCACTTTGAAGATGATTATTCCAACATGCAGATGCATTCCATAAATATCTTCTCTGATACCAACTACATGGTGGCTGGACACAGTGTACATTCATCCAAGCAGGAAATCTATGAGGTAGAGTAAGGCCCATTTGTATTATTAAGAGTGTCCACTCCCACAGCTTTAACAGTAGTCCTCAGGACTCTAGCCAAAATCTCTCTTCTGAACTCCACGTCTATCCAGTTAACATCATAAACGTCTCACGCTTGACATATCGCAAAATGAACTCATCATCTTTCCTTCATAATTGGCTCCAGTCAGTCACCCAAGCAGAAAATCATTGCAGACCTCTTCCTCCCCTTTACCTCCCACATCTAATTGGTCACTAAATCACATCGACTTAGACAAGACTTAAATCTTTCCTTTCTCTCCAGCCCCAAATCCAGGGCCCCATTTCAGGGTCCTGGAGTCTCTGGGCTACCTCACAGGCCTTTGTTCTCTTCTACCCTCCCTGCATGTAGCTTTGTCTCTGACCCTCTGCTTTTCATCTTCCACACTTTTGTCAGAATTAATTTCTAAAGTGTCAATCAAATTGTTTTACTCCACTGCCCTTTGATTTTGCCTTTTGGCTGAAGTCCATATTCCTTGGAATGAGGTGGAACACTCTCCACGTTCTGACCATGGACCAGCTCTAAGGCCTAATCTCTTTATCTTAAACCTTCTTATCCAATCTTACAAAAGACTTTCAAGTCAGTGACCGCAGCAACCACTGAAATTCTTTTCCCTCTGCCAAGAACAGGGGCCATATCTTCCTCATTTTTGAGTACCTATTGCTTAGCAGTGTGGCAAATAGAAGTGCTCAATAAACATTTGCTGAATGAATTGTACAAATGGTAATAATTACATCTGAATTAATAAGTTAAAATGCCATTGGGTAAGTTTACAACAATGGACTCAATTCTATATTTTTGGAAATAGGATTTTGTGGGGTTTTTTTGCTTTTGAAATTTTTTGACTAAGGATGGGTAATCTTAACTAAATGGATGCTTTGAAGAAACGTGTTTTGCCATGTTTCTTTCTATATGTCTTAGTCCGTTAGAGCTGTTACAACAAAAATTCATAGGCTGGATGGCTTAGACAGCAGACATTTATTTCTCACATTCTGGAGGTGGGGACGTCTAAGATCAAGGTGCTGAAAGATTTGGTGTCTGGTGAGAGCCTGATTCCTGGTTTGTAGATAGTTGTCTTCTTGCTGTGTCCTCACATGGCAGAAGGCTGTGAGGGAGCTCTCTGGGGTCTCTTTTATAAGGGCACTAATCCCATTCATGAGGGCTCCACCCTCATGACGTAATCACCTCCCAAAGGCCCCACCTTCTAGTACCGTCACACTGGGGATTAGGTTTCAACATATGAATTTTGAATGAATAAACATTCAGTCTATAGCACTATACTACTCTATTAAATTATTTAAGTAGAACTGTTTCCATTTTAGTTTTTTACATTTTAAGAAATGCCTTCCTAAGTTGCATAAACCTTACTTGTATTCTCATTTTTATTTTCCCAAATGTTCCAGTTTCATGCTTTAAATGGCAAAAATATTTGCAACTACCAGCTTGTCTGTGACAGTGATGTGAACCTGCAGAATAAAGAATCTGTGATCAAGTGTCTGCATATCTTGTCCTCCTTTAGACTCATCATGCAGGTGGCTCTGCCACAGGAGCACCTTTGCTGGATTATCTTCAATGGTAGATACCAATGTATTTTATTTTCCATTGTGTCTCTTACAAAGTTATTTAAATGCCAAGTTTGATGTTGACTTGATTACCTTGTGATTTAAAACATATTCATTTCATAATGGGATGATTGTGGTTTTTTACATTTTTATTACATTTCAGTTTGTCCTTATAAGCAGAGACTTACAACACATGTCTTTGGGTTTTTTGCTCAAGGGACAGTCAGAGGCTGTGAGGATAATCAGTTTCAGGTGTACAAAAAGCAGAAGCCACAGTTCATATGTAATTATAAGTGGAGAAGCATCAACGGATTAGATTAGTTCTAGGCATCATCCATTTGTTGGTCCTCTCCTCAAAAATTTTGGACAATGACTGTGGCTTTCTACATATCAACCTTCTCCTCCTACTTGTTTTTAAGTGAGAAGCTGAGAATGTATGTGTGTATACTATATTTATATTTACATATATATATATATACACATTGTATAGATACACACATATATATGTATACATTAGATGTGTCTCATGAAATGAATCTTATCTATCAAAATATAGCATTTGGTTTTCTCTTTAAAGAGTTACAATTTAAATTCTCTTTAAAGTTACAATTTAAAGGTACAATGAGTCACCTATTATATTGTTCTCTGGATAATATTTTTTTCTCTTTTTTTTTTTGCTGAGGAAGATTTGCACTGAGCTAACATCTGTTGCCAATCTTCCTCTTTTTTGTGTGTGTGTGTGAGGAAGATCAGCCCTGAGCTAACATCCATGCCAATCTTGCTCTTTTTGCTGAGGAAGATCAGCCCTGAGCTAACATCTATTGCCAATCTTCCTCCTTTTTCTACCCTTTTTCTCCCCAAAGCCCCAGTAGATAGTTGTATGTCATAGTTGCACATCCTTCTAGTTGCTGTATGTGGGACGCTGCCTCAGCACGGCTGGACAAATGGTGTGTCGGTGAGTGCCCTGGATCCGCACCCGGGCTGCCAGTAGCGGAGCGCGCACACTTAACCGCTAAGCCATGGGGCCGGCCCTCTCTTTTTTTGCTTGAGGAAGATTAGCCCTGAGCTAACATCTGTACCAATCTTCCTCTATTTTGTATGTGGGTCACCACTATGGCATGGCCAATGAGTGGTGTAGGTCTGCACCCAGGATCTGAACCTGTGAACCCTGGCCGCCAAAGTGGAGCGCACTAAACTTAACCATTAGGCCACAGGGCCAGCCCCTGGGTAATATATTCTTAAAAGGAAAATAATGACAGTATGTTCTATGTATATAAGACCGGGACAAAATAAACTGAAAGAAAATACATTGGGTTTTCCCTCAGCCATAACTACTGAAAGTACATTTCCTAGCCTTTCCTTCCTCACCCTCCCCAAATAATTTTTTGACATTTTGCTTGGAATTAGACCTTACATTGGCTACCAGAGATGAGGCTGACTTGGGAAGAAATTTTTCAGTCCAGCGATTGTGAGGCTTTTGTGCCTGATCATCCTCAAGAGCATCCGAGATTCCCTGAGTAGCCACTGCCATCTCTCCACCCGAGTTGCTCACATATCTTGGCAGGGACTGAGCAGGAGCAGAGGTTCTGTGCTCAAGGAGGAGGGGCAGGCGTGAGGGTTGGTCCCTGCAGCTGGGCCTGCTGGAGAGATGGAAATGGTGCAGCCTGACTCCCTGTCTGCAGTCCTTTTAAGATCACACACAAAATCCCAATATTCTTAAAAAAAAGATGAGACGATTTCTGTGTCTTCTATTCCTTTTCTTGGTGTGTGCTTTTTCTTTATACAGGTGGTATCATGCTCTAGGTTTTATTCTGTTTCCCAAATATTTTTTTGCTGAATACCATGGTTCTAGAATCTAGCCAGGTTCTAGCTGCTGAATTATATTCCAGATATCCATGTACCCCTAGGGATGGGTTCCTGGTTTGCCCCACCTCCTCTAATTGCACTAATAATTCAGCAATGCATATCCTCGCATATGTCCTTTTATAGACCCGTGTGAATGTTTTCTGGGATCTATGCCCAGGAATGGGATTGCTGGGTTGTGGGAGATATACACACTTAGTTTCGCTAACTATGTCTCTGTTTTAATTAACTCATCTAAAACTTATTAAGTGCCAGGCATTGTTCTAGGTGCTAAGGACACAGGAGTAGACAAGAGACAAAAACCCTGTTCTCGTGCTTACATTATGCTTCAGGGAGATGATAAACAAGTCAGAACTCAATGGTGTGTCAGACGGCGATGAGTGCTACAGAGAACAATAAAGCTGAGAAGGGGATAGGGAGAGTGGGGGCTGGACTGGGGCTGGGCCACACTTTTAGCTAGAATGGTCAGGGAGGGCCTCACTGAGATGACATTTGAGCAAAGACCAGAGGAGGTTGGGAAGTGAGCCATCTATCCAGATAGATGGGGGAAGGGCATTCCATCTGGGGGATTAGCAAGTCGAAAGACCCTGTAGTTTTAAAACTTTGGAATTTAAGTAGTCAGAAATAAATTGATCTACAGTCAATTTATCACAATACATTTGACCTTTTCAATTAGACATTAACAATTATTCTTTTTACTTTTAATTGACTATTACACATACACACCCTTAGTTTCTTAAGATGTTTAACCAACTTTGGTTCTTGCATAAAATCTAACTGGGTGTATAAATGTTGGATAACACTTTACTTCTCAATTAACCTGAACCCAAATAATTTTAATCCTCACATAGTCAGATTATTTTGGTGGTGGCTATCTTTGATGAAAAGTTTATTGACAAGGCAATAAACTTATATTAGGGATTTGGTTGAAAACAAAACAAACTTCCAGAGATCTCCTCAGATCGTAAAGATTCAGTCTGCGTTCATTCTACACCAATTACTCTCTCCGTCAGGCTTCTGCAGTGGGAATTTGTGAACCATGCCAAGATCTTGAACCATCAAAGAGGAATTCAGTTATAGTCAGGATGTACTAGGGCTGGAAAGGTTAAAGGCGCCTTTTTGAAATACAGAGGGGCCTTGTCATTCTTGAGGGCGGTCTCCTGAAATTCCCCAGTTCCCGGTACTAATATGTTTACACAGGCTCCTGGCTTACACCTGAACCACATGTTTTGTGGAGGAGCATGTGTTTCCTGTGCATACCCTTACTTGGTGACTGTTTTATTTTTTACAAAGAAATACAGTTATACAGTTTCATTTTTAAAGATTAAAAGCAGAGGTCAACAAAGTCAAGTTGCGATAAGAATGCTGGACTTGAGCTGTTACTAGCTGAGTGGTTTCTTCCCCGGTGGATGTTGCATGAAATAAATAGCTCCGTGTCGTGGGAGCAGACACACAAAGAATGTTGAATCCTTGAATGTGAAGGACCTATTCCATTTTCTATGAAGTTTATGGTGCTATAAGTGCTTAAGATTTACTCAAAATTTTTTTGTCAATGATTTATGTAATTAGTGTTTATTGTGTTTACAGATGCATTTTAATCGAGTGATGTGTGTTTTGGAGCAGGTGCTGTTTTCTCAAAAGCTTTTAAAGTTTAAACATGAACATAGGATTCATAATTGTTGAATTTTGATGGTTATGAATTTTAGATCAGATATTGTATAGAAAATATTTAGACTACTTGTCATTATAATAACTTCCCTTTTTAAAGCATGTTAACATCTTTTGGGTATGTGTATAGCATGATAATGTCCTTTGTATATAAAGAGTTGTGTGGTGATGTTATTCCCCACCCCTCCCCCTAGCTCTGCCACCAGCCTTCTATCCTCATTTACTTAATGGCCTGACAAAAAATCATACTTGAATGATCTTCAACAGGAGTTGGAAATGCTATTTTTCATTAGAGTACTTATAGGACGTACTTTAATAATGGGAAAAATATATGAGACTGCAAATGAATATAATACAACTCATTATGCATTATGATTTTTAAATTATTCTGAGTTTCTTTGTTGAGTGCTGTGCCATGCTGATTGAATACCTATTCTAATCTTATTTGGAGATACATCTTTAGTTTTTCAACCACGAGGAAATCTTGGGAACCAATAACATTTTGTCTGAATTAATAAAACTACATAAATTTTGCTACTAAAAATATTCTTTTGTTCAATATATTTGAAAACTTAAACTGCCTTTAAAATGAGATTGCAATATTCCTGTGTCAACATATTTAAAATATAGTCATATTAGTTCTTTTAAGGATTTGGCTACAAGTTAACAAGAAGAATTATAATGATGATAACTCTCTAACCATTATCAGACTTTCTCATGAGATCGCTTGTTTTGGGAACTACAGACAAACTACAGAAATTGGAATATAAAATTCCATCATTTGATTGTAAACATGTTAACAATCTTTTTCTCCGTCTAGGTACCATTTACATTTACACCATTTGCAGAAAACTGATGATCATAGGTCAGTCTTCCAAGGTATGAAATTTACTGACAAGATGTCTACCCCTGTATTTCCTGTTTTTCTTAAGATTTTTGTTAGCACTGAATGCTAAATAAAGATAATAAGTGAATTATGTAAAAAAATTTAGTGAATGTGTATATTATATAGTTTTACTGTTCTTAGTTTTACTTTAACATGATCATAATGTAAAAATGCAGACAATAAAGTATTAATAAAAAGAAAGAATTCCTAAAATTGATAGGCATTCTCCAGTGTCCCTTGGTGTCTCAGATTAGTCATTACTTGTCAACTTGATACTGAACATCCATCTAGTAGCTATGTTTCTAGGTAGGGTAGCCATCCATCCTGCCTTGCCCAGGACAGTCCTGATTTATGCCTCTTGTCCTGGAGTAATTATTAACAGTACTCCCTTTCACTCTTAAAAGTGTCCTGTTTTGGATGATAAACTATGGTTACCCTATTTATGTCATGCTGTGGAGCTTGGACATCATTTTGCTTGAAGAGTTTGGACTTTACTTATGGCCCACATGCTAGTTGGGTGAATGAAAGAACATCTAAACTCTGTCCCAGCCACAAGCTGAGGGTAAGAGGACTTTATTTTATAATAAGATTCTCACTTACCAGTACTCACTGCTCAGTTTTAGTTTGAAGAAGTGGCTGACACTTCTATTGACTGCCCTACAACGTTGGTAGCACTTTTGTCTGCAGGAGACATATTTATTCCCTGTGTTCATTGTCCAGTCATTGGAATATAGGCCAAGAAGGGAGAATATACTCCCATTGAGACCATGCTTGAGTTGTTGCTGGCATCTGAAACATTACTACTTTATTCTTCCTTATCACATGCAAAACCTTACCCTGAATATTCTAACACTCAGGACAGATACATTTTTTTCTTATTTCCTCAAAATATAACCAAGTATCTTAAAATCTGACAGCACTTAAAAAATAAAAATAGAGGCAAAGTTATTTGCACACTCAATGGATAACTTTATGTGTTCTCTCTCTGTTTTGTTCCTCCAAATTTAAAAGCTCTATTACTATGTGACTTGAACAAGCTCTGTGCCAGCATTTTGAGTGTGAATTAAAATGAGAGGAGACTGTTCCATGTATAATATAAATTTGGCCTACAGACTATTCCAACAATTCTACACTCAGTTCCAGATTCTAAAAAGAATTTGCATATTCCCTTGCACTTGCTGTAACAACAAGTACTGCTTCACAGAACCATCATAATTTGGTCTTCTAGAGCCAAAAGCTCTAGGGCTTCAAAGGGCAGAGATATCTGTGCCAAAATTTAACTGTTAGTGTCAGTACTTGTTAATGCTGAGAGAATTTTAATTTAATGTGATAGTCATCTTAAAATAATTTATTTATACCCTATGCGAGACATCTCCTCTCCTGCTCATAGAACTTGAGTTTTTCTATGACAAAATAAGGCCTGAAGGAGATACTTCTATGGTCCCAGTCTTGTGGAATGGGGGTGGTAGAAGTGAGGGATGCAAGAATTTTGGGGTAGTGGGTGGTTGTACTGTTGGCACTTGAAGATTCGGATAAAATTCTTTCAGTTTGTTCAATATGATAAGTTTCAAGGAAATTAATAATTTTCGCCCAGAAATTCCCAAACCCTTGGCTGGTAAGTTGATTCCTGAGCTGAGGCTATAAATGAACTTAATGGGTCCATTTAATGGGCACAAGCCCTTGGAGGCCCAGCCACATGAGTCCTCTGGGTCTGAGGGACCCTGATTCTGTAGTTATTTAAGAGTTCAAGTCTGTTAGAGCATAGGAGAGAAGAAGAAATAGACTTGGTGTCACCACAGAGCAATCTAAACTCCTATGCATGAAGGATCTGGGCATTATGGCTACCATTTATTATTATTATTGAAACCCTACTGTATGTTAGGTACTGCGTGAAGGACTTTGCTTACATAATAATACTCACTATAGTCTTATGAGGTGGGCACTATCATCACCATCATCATTTGTTGAATGAATGCCTGCCATCTATCAGGTATGCTTCTGAGGACTTTCACGTATTATCTCATTTAATCCTCACACCACCGCTTTGAGAAGGGTGCTGTTATTACCTTCATCTTATAGATGAGGAAGCTGAAGGCTCAGCAAAGTTAACCTGCTTGATGTCGCACATCTAGTTAGAGATGTAGCTGAGGCCAGAGCCAAGGCCGTGCTGCCTCTCAACACAATTAGAATAACACATGTCTGTTGACTAAATTTAATCCTGTCCTGACGCATCCTATTTTTGGTTCACCTACTCAAACTGGGAGCTGTGTGGGAGGGGTTAATATTTTTCAACATGACTCTCTATTTCTGAAGACAGTCTGAAGACCAAGACTGACTGGGGCTCTTCCGCCGATGGGAAACGCTAACTTTCAAGCTGAGCCGGTCACCAGCATAACCTTAGGGAACAGAGGGAGGCCAGATTTCTGAAATCTCTTTCCCTAAAGACAACTTTGCTTCTGTTTATAGTATAACCTGTAGTTTCTTCAGAAGCATTTAAAGCTATAGTGTAATACTCAGCAAACATTAAAAGAATACAATAGAATGTATTCATTCTAAGAAAACGTTGATTTCTGTTTTATTTTACTATAAAACTGAAATAGGTTGGTCAAGTTTGTGGCTTGAACAATTGTTAAATGATTCTGCATGCCATTACATAAACGTCAAGTCCAAACCTTAAAACACTTCTCCGTGGTGTTTCCCTCAAAGGATCTGAGCTGATACAAATGATTCTGCACTGCCATCCAGTGGCTGTGCTGAGGAATTGTGTGTGCTTTTGCTTCTGACACCTGACCCATGCTCTTTCTGGGCTCCTGTAATTTGGTTTCTCAAAGTCTTTTTTCTTCTTTTTTTCTAGGAAGAGAATAGTCCTGCTGAAATCCCAGCATTTTTTTTTATTAATAGAAATAGTTCTTTATAGCTTCTAGGGGCAAGAAAAAAATGTTACAAATTTTGGTTTTTGGAAATGGTTTTTCATCTTTAAACCCGAATGGTGGTTTCTCAGAACCCTAAGTGGAGTCGTGGTTTCTCAGAACTCCCCTTGTGTAGTGGGAGGGACCTGGGAGTCCAAAGACCTGAATGCCAGCCCCAGCTCTGTCGCTCACAAGCAGTTTAGCCTCTCGGAGTCAGACTAGGTTACTTTCAAGGTCCTTTCTGGCACTAAAATCTGTGATTTAGGGTCTTTTATTCTAAGTCTGAAGCTGAACCCAAATATAACATGAACAACTGGTAACTAAAGCTATTTTCATTTTGAAATGTGAAATTCCTAAGACCAGGAATCCTCAGGGCTTTTGGAAAGATAAGTGAATTTAAAGGAGAGATATTTATACATGGCTTAATCTCATACCCCTCAAACCACAACAATCCAAATACAAAATCCACAATAGGATTTTTGTGCAGTGAATTTGAGAAAACTCAAGAGATTCAATGACTGTTAGTTTTTTATGAGTTCACAGTGTGGCAAGGTTAGCAAACAACAACAACAACGACAGCAGCAACAACAAAACCAGGAATAAAGCAATCCCAGGCTGACTCAATAGAGATATAGTGTCCAGTATCAGGGATGGGAGTTTCATCTTGCCGTGATCTAGTCATAAACTCTAAAGGGACAATGGCCGTTTGGAGCAAAGCCGTGAATGACCAGCCATGCTGGAGAAGGGAAGTGCAGTTCTGGGAGGTGGAGAAGTGCTTGGGGATCTTTATCCTGGAGAGAGAGCTGGGGGAGAGGGCAGGCTGTATAGGTGTTTTCAGATTCTTGGAAGGCTGTAATTGGGAAGTGGGTTTTGGATGGTTTTGTGCTGCCTCAGAAGCCATATCTAGGACCAGTGCACTGGAGGTATATCAAGGTGGATTTCATTTCAGATTAAGGAAGTACTTTTCATGTTTCGAATTGTCTTCTGATGCCATGTGGCACGTTCCTTGTTGCTGGAGGTGGGAACTCTTGGGTATGGAGGGTGTGGGACATCAGGGGGTGGTGCTGGTGATGTTAATGGGGGTGAAATTAGATTGACTTCCAGCTCTTTGATTTTATGATTACTAGAAATAGTTCCATAGTTAGCACCATGAATTGAAATTTTTTAATGAAGGTCAGTCAATCAGTCAACAAATATTAATTGTATTTCTACTACACACCAGATAAAGTTTTAGGGGCTGGGGATACAGTGTTGAACAAGGTCCCTTTCCTAAGTGAACTTACATTCTAGTGGGTTGAGCTTACATTCCAGTGGATGGCAAAGAATATTACAGTTCTGTGTCAAACCCTGCTCTACTTCCAACAGTCTCTTTGTCTCTGGAATCAAAACCTACAGGACAGTGGAGAATTCTGGACTCCCAGCCTTCTTCTTTCTCTTAGATGTCCACTGAGCTGCTTGCACACGTGTTATATACACCGTCTTTGAAGGCTCCAAAGATCGTAATAGGGTCTGAATGTTACCAGTGTTTTTTCTATTTTTACTATTAAATACTTTGTCAATCTGGTGGTTTTGCTTTATCCATATGAAGCTCCTGGACCTTTTTGATGATTTGCCTTTTCAAGGTCGATTTGACTACTATAGACATATTTTTCCTTAATTAATTCCTCAATTATTGAAGGCCAAATTTGTTAGTGGAAGAGGGACTTTATTCTGTGGTCCAAACTTATTATCATTATTTTTTTGAGAATCTAGAATATTTGTTAGCTCTCCCCTGGTTTGTTCTGCTGACTTTCGGGTTGTTCAATTAATTCATTTAATGCACTTGGGAGTATCCGCTATGTACCTGGTACTGTTCTAGGTGCTGGTGATATAACAATGAATAAGGTACTGTTCCTATTTTCAAAGAACATATTAATGCAATTAGATCTGACATATGATATATGTGTATATAAAATATATGTAAATTATATATACACACACACACACAGACAACACAATTACAGTAGAGATGGAGAAGAGGCAGTGGTCATGTCTCTCTAGGGACATTAGAAAAGTCTTCAACAACTAGTTCTCTTCCCCCCGCTCTTCCTCCTCCTCCTCTTCCTCCACATTTTCCTCCTCCTTCTTTGTCTTCATTGCCATTACCAAAGCTGATACTTATGTGTTTACTCTGTTCTAAGCATTTAACACGCATTAACTCATTTTAGTCCTCAAACAATCCTATAGGATAGTTACTGTTATACCTATTTTGCAGATGAAGAACCTGAGGCACATGGAGTTTAAGTAAATTGTGCAAGGTCACACTGCTAGCAGCAGAGGTAGTGTTTCAGCTCAGTCTTATAGGGTGAAGGAGGGAACAGAGTGAGCAAAGATGCACACATTTGGACCACCAAGATGTTTTGTGGAACGGAAAGCATTTTGGACCAGCTTTAAGTATACAATGCAAGGTCAAGAGTAATGGGTGGGGGTGGGAGGAAGACGGGGACTAGGTCATGAAGGGTTTTGCCTGCCCTATAAAGGGCCTGTACTTTGTCATATAGGTAATTGGGAGCCATTGAAGTGTTTCAAGCACAAGAGTGACACAACCCAACTTGCATTTTCGAAAGATACTCTGGTGGAGGTAGGGAGGCTGTATAAGGAAGGGGGTGTATAAGAAAAGGGGGATGGTGAGACCAAAGATGGGGAGACGAGTGAGGAAGTATCCCAGAGGTCCAGGGAGACATGTGAGGTTCTGCTTGGTTAAGGCCAATATATCCATGGATAGAATTTAGAATTTGATATTTTGAGATAGTTAGCTTACAGATTCTTATTTTCATCCCAGTAATATTTCTTGTAATAATATGTGGAGCATAGACCAAATTTATTCTTGTATTAAATCAAATGAGAAGCAATGTAATCCAATTACTCTTCGAGCTTTTGGAATATTTTTGGAGAAAGGAAAAAGATTGAAAAAGTTAACTGTACCATACGTATAGTCAAAAAATGTTTCCGAGTATAGGGTTTGTGGGAAGAATATGTCAAAAAAGAATTATCAATGGATTTGTGGTGAAAGTCTTCAGCTAGAATAGCACAAATCTTATATATCTTCCTACAGACAGGCCAGTAACAATGGTGATACTTTCCTCTCTTTTTTGTTTCAAATTATACCTTGGGAATAATTACACTGGTAATAGGCACCGTTTATGGAGTGCTTACAATGTGCTAAATACCATCCTAACATGTCATGTACATTGACTTTTTCTTTCATAACAGTGCTGCTATGATGTGCTAAAATACCCATTTTACAGATGAGAAAATTGAGGTCTGGAGAGATAAATAGGTGATAAAATAGAGACTGAAACCTAGGTCTATTTGAATCCAATCTTGGACTGTTTCTGCTAAGTATCACAGGCTCCAGACTGTAAGCCTTTTCCATTTTCCCTACCCTGCTATACCAGTTTATTTTCAGGATAATACACTGGTTTCAGGCCAGCTAATAACAATTATATTGTTGGAATTAGCTCCTAGACTACTGATGACGCTTGATAAATATTAATAAAAATGAGCTGAGTTCATAGGACTTTAGGAGCTAAGAAGGAAGACATTCTTAAATGGCTAACTTGAGATTTTGAGTTCTCTAAATTATTGTTTTACTTTTTAAATGCTTGTTTTTTCTGAGCTCACTATTTTTGGTAATTTTGGTTTAAGTAGTCAGCAACTTGTGCTCACAACTTATAATTTGATGGTATTAAATGAAATCATTGTTATTAGCTTAAAATAAAAATAAATTCAATTGTGCCCTTTCTTTCTCAGGCCTTAGAATATCTCCTGTGGGCCAGTATTTGTATGGAATCCTCGGTCCCCCTCCTGTCCGTCAGGTACCTGACGTGGAGAGCAACTCTTTACACTGCTGTCTGCCAGTGCTACTATGACTGCCAAGCTGGTATTCATGGAGAGGTAAGTTACTTGTTAATTCCGAGGATTCCGATACTTTAAAGTACAACTTATTCCAGATTTTCTTCTTTCGATGCCCAGCAAGAAAACAAACAAACCCAAAGAATTGCAATGAAGCAAAGACAAAAGGCCCCAGCTTCATTTGCAGAAATTTGCCTAGCTTCTCCCTTCTGTTGGTCTTTAGCTCTACTCTCTGATCTCTCCTTTATTCTCCGTTTACTTCCATGTCTTTGCTCCTTTTCTGAAGAAGATTTCTGAGAACTTCCTTTCCTGATTGTATTCTTGATGCGAGCACTTTCCTTCCCTGTTTAGTTTTGTATTCCATGCCGCCTACTATCCATTTGTCTTGCTTTTCTCTGCTTCCAGCCATCATTTATTTAATACACTCTATTTCTTGTTTTTCGTCTTTTTTTGTATATCTTTTAGACTAAATACTTGAAATATGACTTAACTGGTGGACACTTCTGTTGGCCTATACAGTAACCTCCGTGTAAATGAAAAAAAGTCACTCTTTCTACAGTACATGGTATTTGGCTTATCAGCAGATGGGGCCTTGGTGGGAATTAGAAATGGTCACCCCTTCCTTTGGGCCAACACAAACCTGCACCAGGGTGCATGGCTTGGTGAGTGCAGGGTGGGCTGGATTTCAGCCCTCACTCGACCTCTTGGCTGGAAGTCTTGTGCAGGACAGAGCCTTCACAGCTCTACAAATCCCTGTTCACAACCATAAATAGACAATCTAGTCCATTAATGGCTACTTCACATTTCGTTTTTCCTACCTGAACTAATTCTAAAGAGTTGGATGGTAGTGGCCTGTAGGCAGGGGAATAGCCTAATGTAGTCCTTGTGGGATACTTTTTCTAGCCCAGGATACATTCGAGAAACTATTCACAGTATGTGTATAGTTAATTTTAGTGTACCAGTGGTGGCATATTTCTATAGCTATTAAAATGATCAGGGAATGGAGCATTTGCATAGTTTTGACCGTTTGATCCTAGTGGAATTCCTCCTTATTCGAAAATTAAACCTTTTATATATGTTACTATTGTGGTCTAGAAGCATCTTCGTGAAAAATCATAAATTATAAATGAGATATTTCAAGGAACTTGTAAAATAAATTACATAAATTGAACTCTTTTTTTATTATCTCTAGAGAATTATAAGAATGGTGATCTGATTAAATAAGCAAACCTGCCTCCCTCCTTTCCTCAGATGTTAATAAATACTTCTTATATGCTGTATATTGGAGATACAAAGATGAATAAGACCCTTTAAGGACCTCACAGTTGAATGGGCAATGTGAACAGCTGAATAGATAACACAGCATGTTTTGGTAGGAAGGTTAGGATTCGAGAAGAGCACTGAGGACGTATGTGTGCGCCATGCCAGAGAAGTGATAATCTACACGAAGCTACTGTTTAACCCAGAATTTGGCTTTCCTTGCTTTTTTTTTTTTTTTTTTTGTGAGGAGATCAGCCCTGAGCTAACATCCACCAATCCTCCTCTTTTTGTCGAGGAAGACTGGCCCTGGGCTAACATCTGTGCCCATCCTCCTCCACTTTATATGGGATGCTGCCACAGCATGGCTTGACAAGCAGTGCTTTGGTGCGTGCCCGGGATCCGAACTGGCGAACCCCGGGCCTCCACAGCGGAGTGTGCGCACTCAACCGCTTGCGCCACAGGGCGGCCCCTTCCTTGCTTTTTTGAATTTCTTAATTCATAAAGTTAGTATATCTGACATGTTATTAACTTCAGCTCTAGAGAATTCAGTGGTGCTTATAGGAAACGATAGATGGGATAGTTACCGTGTAATAGAGTCAGCATTGGCCTAGCATTTAATTCACCAATTAAATCAAATGTCTGGGAGAATAAAACGTACTGTCTTGATACATTTTTAATCACTATACTCTTACTTATTATGAATTAAATTTATTTTAATCGCATACAGGCATTTGCTCGGCGCGCTTTAGCTAAAATTGATGAGTTAAGGCATCTGGAATTAATGAGTTCCTCACAATCACAGGAAGAATCTAGAAGATATTATAGAGAGCCCACGATAAAGGTATAAAAATTTCATGAAATAAAAGAAATTTACTGCACTCTATGGTTGATTAAGTACTTAATTTTAGTAGTTGAGAAGTGCATCCCATTGCTTCTTCATAAATAATTCTTCTTTTTGAGGCAGATGGCAGTAATGATCTTCAAAAGAGGAGTATTTGAATCTAGAAGAAAAAACAAAAGTATATTTAGACCAAAGATAAGAGCTAACCTAAGGGAAGCACAAAATGTAAGTCTAAGAACGTCCTCTCTATTTCAGACTCTCTTCACAGTGTGTTTATCTTATGCCTCTGTGTTTTTTAAGCCTACTAACCAAATATTAAATCCTGTACCCTATTCTCTGCACCCATGGCAAATAGAGAGAAGAATACCTTCCTGGTTTGGACACGGCCTCACTTCATCCCTTTCTCAAAGCTTTTGTACCTTTGCACAATCCCAGTTTTGTAATTTTAAAGGGCAAGAGGCTGAAAAAGAGCCGGGGAAAGGTCCAAACGCACAGGCGTCTGAGTGGAGGTGCCGCAGAGGCCTTTGTCTCTGACCGCTTGGTGTTGGAAGGCTTTGAGGTTGGAGAGAACGGGGGGCATCTTTTCTCATCAGCTTCAGGTATCACCTTTGGGAGTGGTTAGGAACTGGGTTATTCTGCAGCAACAAACAAACCCCATGTCTTGGTGGCTTAAACAACAATTTATTTCCCACTGGAGTCATGTTATTACAGTTATCAGGGGGCTCTGCTCAGCACCGCTGCTCAGGGCCAGATTGAGGAGCAGCCCTCATTTAGAAAATTGCTGGTCGTTCTGCCAGAGAGGACATGAGAGGGCTCTGGAGGATGGCGCACAGGCAGTAATGCCCGGCGTGGACGTGACAGCAGTCTCTTCTTCTCACATGTCAGAACTTGTCCCACGGCCCCTGTTGGCCACAAGTGAGTTTGGCCCCCTGCACTAGGGGCTGTCAGGAGGGAAGTGGGACATAGTTATGCCTGTGGGGTCCTCGGCCCTTTCTCCCTTCTGCCTTTTTCCTTCTCCCACATTCTTCCCCTTTGCCTTTCTGAATCTCAATATCCCTCAAGGCCCAGTTCTCTGTTTCTTTAAAGCTTTCTCTGACTGTTCAAGATGGCAGTAAACTCTCTTCTGTGAGCTTCTTTGTAGGGACTGAAAGTGAAAGTCAGGGGGAAGAAGATGAGCAGTTTCTGACGGAAGAGTTGTAGAATCTCAGCACCTGGAAGGGATTTTAGAAATCGTCTAGTTCAGCCCTTTTCTATTACAGGTGGGAAAAGTAAAGCCCACAGTATTTAAATTACTGATTCCAGGTCACGGAGCCAGCTGCTGGCAGCGCTGGAACTTGAACCCAGGTCTCTGGCCAGTGCTTTGTCACTGCTCCAGTGATGGCTGTTCTCTGTTCTCATTTCTTCTTAGAACATTTAGGAGTCATTCTTTCTTTAATAAATCATAATATTTAAATGCAAATATTATTTGGACATAGTAGCTTTCTATTGCTACTTAGGGTGACTATGATATATGGACTACTGAGTCCAGAAATGCAGTTCATATACCCCTTTTAAATCATATCCCTTACTGACCAATGGTGTGTAATTGGTGGGGTTGCTAACTTGCCAAATTATTGATAATTCCTTGGATGGGCTGTCGAGCTGCTTGCGTCTGATATTGTTAAGTAGTAATGCTATGTTGTTTGTAAGAGAGCAGGGGACAATTTCATTTTTCTCACCAGCATTTTTTTCTCTGAGCAAACCAAATTTAAGTATCCAAAGCTGCAAAATTGTCATGAATTAGCATATTATTAGGACTTGACTGATAATCATCCTCGTATAAAAATTAAGTATATTTTCAAAAAAATTGTGTAAAATTCCAAGTAACATTACATTAAAAACCCATTTATTTCTGATTTCCTTTAAGATAATTATTATACGGAAAATTCTGGTGGTATTTCTTTTCAGAAAAACCTTAAAATTGTTTAATGGCTGGTTTTTCAGAGAATAGTCAGCATTCTTTTTATAAAGTCACAGTATATCACCTTGATATGTTTTGCAGAATGTGCTGCTTTATATGTGTGAAATAATTTTGTTATGTTTCTTCAAAAGAAAGTAATTTACAGTATGCATTACATCTCTTTTATAAAAAAGTTCTGAGCTTGTAAGTCAGTTATTAATTCACAGTAAATCATTTTGACTTTCAAAGAATTCTTTTAGAGGACTGTTAATTCACTCCTAATGATTGGCTGTTTAGTGATTCATTTAATAAATATTTTTAAAGTCCCTGCTATGTGAACAAGATAGAGGTTACATTCTAGTGGAGAAATTATACAATAAATAAATAAATAAAGCGTGATAAGTATTAAGAAGGAAATAATGGCAATGATTAAATTAGTTACATGTAAAGCCCTTAGAATGTTCCTGGCATGTAGTAGGTCCTTAGTAATTTTGCTATTACTATTATTTCTTTTTCATTTCATTCATTCTACAGCCAACTGTGGTCCCAAGAGTGGTAGAATATAGAGAAGATTAAGTTACAGTTCTGTCCTTTTGAATGGTTTTGGAATAGTGAGCAGGATTTGACTAGACAGGGAGAAGAGGAGAAAAGATTCAAAGAAAGGACCAGAGCATGATTATAGCTTGGAAGCAAAGTTGACAGGGGGACAGTGAGAAACTGAACTTGCGTGGGGTGGGTATATTATGTTGGGGAATTAGCAGAGTATATCACATGGACTAGATCTCATGGAAACCATAGTGTTTAGAGGTGGAACAGACTGTATGGGTTGTGTTATTCAGCTTTTCACCCATCCTGACATTTTTAAAAATGGTCTAGTATACCCTATGCAGTATATATACACCAGAATTTGTCTAATATTTTTATTAATATTATTTCAGTTGTTTCCAGTTCTTTGCTATTATAAATATTGATGTAATCAATATTCTCAAATATATTATTTTTTCTTTCTTTTATTTCCTGTGGATAAAATTCAAGGCATAGGATTCAAATCAAAGGATACAAATACTTTTATTTCTCTTGATATATATTGCCAAACTGACTTCCAAAATGGGTACCACAAGACGACAACCTGTGTGTACCAATATCACCACAAGCTATTATCATTTTGATATTACTATTTCTTTATTTTTTTATAATTCAGTTTTCATAAAATGGCTCATCATTTTAACTTTATTTCTTTCATCCAACTTTCCCTTAAATATTTGTGTTTACTCTTTATATTTCCTTTTCTTGTGAATTATCTTTCAGTCTTACCATTTATCTACTAGAGATGTTAATTTTTAAAATATATTTGAATGAGCTCATTGTTTTTAGAGATATTAATATTTTGCTTGTCATGCTTGGCAATCAATTATTTTTTATTACTTTAGCTTTAAATCTTTTTTTATAGATCTTTTAAGTATTTGTATTTTAAAATCTTTTACTTGGTATTCATCTATAGCTCTGATAAATATTCTATTCTACTTTTTTCTAGTTTTCTGATATTTTAAAAAACAATTTCACTGTACTCTATTTTGGTTTTATTCTTTCATTTTGAATGCTTCTAATTATTAGAAAGTGTATTATGCTCTTTAAATATACTGTGTTAAAGCTCTGTTTTAACCTACAGTAAAAGTCTTAGAAGAAACCCTTACCTCTGTTTGTAACAAAACAGAGGGTAGGGCATGAACTTCAAGTGTTATTGAGGTTTTTAGCATATCAGTTGACCTATGGGTTGAAAAGGCATCAAAGCTAGTGAGCAGGGAAGTTGGTGTTCAGGGAAAAATAGTCCAAAGCAGCCTTATCCCTGCTTCTGTTTCTCTGTCTTTCTAACTTTGCCGCAAGAAAAGGAAAGCAGCAGGGGAATCCTGGGGAACATGATGAGTATCTTCTAACTGGACACGGATTCTAGAAAAGCCAGCTAGAGCTACCTCTGTTATTTCCTGGTAATCTAAATACAGAGAACAGGTCATTTGTCAGAGAGAAGAATGAGTGTAGAGGCAAGCCATCTGCAGAAGGTGGTCTCATTCTGGGCCAATACAAAGCAGAGGGGCTGGAAATTCACAAGAGCTCTAAGAGTCACTAGCTTATTAATATACAACTGGTCAACTCTTCTTTAGAGTTAGCTACCATAGACCGGTTCTTTATAATATAAAATATTGTTTCAAATTTGGGTTTAAGGACTTCCTGCATTAGAATTTCCTGCAGTGCTTATTAAAAATGCCCCACCCAGACCCACTGAATCCCTGGAGATTTGGTCTGTGAATCCAAAAAGCACTCCTGAGAGATTCTAAGGCAATCCAAGTCTGAGTATCAGTTCCTCAAGGCTGTAATTAAGGTACCACAAAGCAGATGGAGATTGATGCTGCCCTAATAAAAAGACAGTAATAAACAGCCTTTTTATGCTGCCTTGGAAACACAAACATATAAAGAAATAGCAAAGTCTTTGATGTAATGGCAGCATGATATAAACTTTAATGGAGTCTGGAGTGACACCTGAAAAAACGAAAACCATAAAAGCACCATCTCATTGATAGGCCAACCACTCTCTTTTTTTTTTTTGTGAGGAAGATCAGCCCTGAGCTAACATCTGCTCCCATCTACTTTATATGGGACGCTGCCTCAGCGTGGCGTGACAAGCGGTGCACCGGTGCGTGGCCGGGATCTGAACCGACGCACCCCAGCCGCCGAAGCAGAGCACACGCACTTAAATGCTTGCACCAGCCGCCGGCCCCGCACTCTCTCTTTTAGCATTAATTAAGCATGCCTTACTTATTTTTGCCTTATAATATCAAACATTGTAGAACTTTAAAAAAATAGACGGTATATTTTTTTGTTCCAGTTGCCGTGGCCACGTACCATCACGGAACGGTTGTTGGAAGAGATGTTTGATTGCACTGCATCCCGGTTTCTGGCTGTCTTGGAAGCTCTTTCTGATTCAAATAGACGAACACTACAAACTGGACCTGTTGTTACAGATGAAGTAGAAATTCGTGATGTTGTCTCAGAACTGTTTATAGCAGGAAAAGAACTTTTAATAAGTAAATAAGTTAAGATAATATTTTATGGTAGAACATAAATAACAAAAATCTTAGCATGGTAGTCCACACGTAAGAAACTGATATCCAATTTATATTGATCTTGAATTCAGCAACCTTGCTAAACTCAATTGATAATCCAAACAATTATTTGGATTTTTTACGTATATAATCATCTTACCTATGAATAATAACAATTATATTTCTTTCTTTTCATAATAATAAAATCCTTTTATTTCTTTTTTCTTGCATTTCTTGCCTTACTGCACTAGATAGGATCTCCAATAAAATATGAAATGAAAGTGGTGATAGCAGACATCCTTGTCTCATTTATGATCTCAAATGGAAGGTTTCAATATTTTACCATTAATATTGATATTTGCTGAAGGATTTTTTTAGATATCCTTTTTCAGGTTAAGGAAGTTTCTTTTATTCTCGGTTTGCTAAGAGTTTTGCTTGTTTGTTTTTCATCTTGAATAGTTATTGAATTTTATCAATAACCTTTTCTGGATTATTCAGATTTATTGAGTTGATTGAGTGGCTTTTCTCTTTTATTTCTATTAATGTGGTGAACTACGTTGATTGCTATCTAATTTTTAACCACTCTATATTTTTGGAATAAACATAATGTGGAGGTGAGAATTATCCTTTTGATATATTGCTTGATTTTTTTTGCTAATGTTTGATGTTTATGCCTTTCTGTTCATGAGAGAGATTTTCCTTTCTTGCAATGTCCTTTTTAGATTTTGCTCTCAAGGTCATGTTGGCCTCATAAAAAGAATTGAGAAGTATGTCCTCTTTTTCTATTGTCTGAAAGAGTTTGTGTCAGATTGGTGTTATTTATTCCTAAATTGGTTGAATTTACTGGTGAAGCCATTTGGACCTGAAATTTTCTTTGTGGAAAGGTTTTTAACTATGGATTAAATTTCTTCCTTAGATTTAAAATGATTTAGGCTTTCTTTTCATTTTTTAAAAAAAATCTTCTATCATTTTGGTAAATTGTACTTCCCTTGAAAATATTCAATTTTATCTAATGTTTTCAAATTTTTTATAAAATTGCTTATAATATCTCATTATGATCTTCTTAACATCTGTAAGATCTGTAGAGGTCATTCCTGATAGTTGTCAATTTGCCTTTTCTTTCATTTCGTCAGTTTCACCAGAAGTCTACCAATTTCATTAGTCTTTCCAAAGAACAACATTGAAGTTTTTTGTCCTCTTAATTGTGTTTGTTTTCCATATTAATAATTTATGTTCTTTATTATTTAATTTATTCTACTTTCTTGAATTTAGTTTGCTTATTTTTAAAAATTTATTGACTTGGAAGCTTAGATCATTGATTTTCAGGATTTATCCTTATTTAATATACGCATATTCAGACATTTCTCAAATGCAGCTGTAACTATGTACCCAAAGTTTTTCTATAGATCATACCTTCATTACCATTTAGTTAAGAATATTTTCTAATTCCCATTGTGATTTCTTCTTTGATGTAGGGTTATGAGTCAAAAGGTACGGAGATTTTCTAATTATCTTTTTGTTACTGATTTCTAGCTTAATTATACTGTGGTGAAAAAACATATTCTGTATTATTTGAGACTGTTGAAATTTGCTGAGACGTGGCCTAAATTGTGGTCAATTTTAGTAAATTGTATGTACTTGAAAAGACTGTGTATTCTTGTCTTTTTGGGTGCATTGCTTTATATATATATGTTGATTAGGTTAAGTTTGTAAATCACGTATATAGTTAGACCTTCTCTATTCCTACTAATTTTTTGGTCTGCTTGTTTTGTAAATTCCTGAGAGAGCTGTGTTAAACATCATCGGCTATGTATTTCTGTCCCTGTGGAATTGATACAACATAGGGTATGTGTGTCTTTTGCTATAGCAGATACTCTTTTCCAAAGTGATTTTTACCAGTTTACACACCCATCAGCATTTTATGAGAGTTCTAATTGTTCCGAATTCTGACACTTAGATTTATATGTCTTTTTCCTTTCGTCCATTCTGGTGTGAATTCAACAGTATTACATTATGGATTTAATTTGTACACCTCTGATGGCTGATGAAGTTGAGCACCACCTTTTCATACATTTCTTCACCATTTGGATATCCTGTTTTGTGAAGTGCTGTTCAGATCTGTGGGAGGAGGTTATCGAGAGGACATGTCCACTGGTTGACCCTTGAGCTGGACCCAGGCAATGAGAGGCTCCTTACTCCCTACCCTGTCCTTGGAATCTATATCTTGACTACTATTCACATACTGGCAGCCGTTCCAAGGACACAGCTTTGAAAGAGTAAGGTGTTGTTGAGACCATCTGGACTGAATACGTGACTGAACCCAGTAAGGCTTCTATTTAAACTTTTAAGAGTCTGGTGGGCAGATGTGGAGATCTGCTCGTCTTGTGGCTGCCGAAGACAAGCCTCATATATGAGTTCCCTTGCTTATTGAAATGGCCACCTACCAATCTGGAGTGGTCTTTCTCTTTCTTTAGTCTCTCCCTGCCCTCCATGTACAGAGGCCAGTTTGCAAACCAACAAGATCTTTTGCTCGTTTTTCTACTGGGCTATTTGCTTCTTTTTTTTTTTATTGGTTTGTAGGAATTCTTTATAGATTCTGGATACAAGTCCTTTATTGAACACATATATTGCAAACATCTTTTCCCATTTGGTGGCTTGCCTTTTCATTCTCTTAGTTGTAGCTGTTAAGGGACAAGAATTCTTAATTTTAATGTAGTCCAATTTATCAATATATCCTTTATAGTTAACTATTTTTGTGTCATGTTTAAGAAATCTCTGCTACATCAATGTCATAAAGATATATTTCTATGTTTTCTTCTAGAAGCTTTGTTATTTTACCTCTCACATTACGTCTAAATTTGCATCTTTTTTGTTGGTATGAGGTAGGAATCAAGATTTATTTATTTCCATATAATATCCAGTTGACACAGCACCACTTATTGAAGAGATCTTTCTTTCCCCATTGACTATAGTATCCCTTTGTCATAAACTAGGTGACTGTATTTGTGTTTTTTCATTCAGCATAATTACCTTGAGATGTATCCAAGTTGTTGTGTGTATTAATAGTTCACTTAGTAATGCTGAGTAGGAGTCCATGGTGTGGATGTATCACAGTTTGTTTAACCATTCAGCTGTTGAAGGACATTTGAGTTGTTTCCGGTTTTCAGCTGTTAGGAATAAAGCTGCTGTGAACATTTGAGTACAGGTCTTTGTGTGAACATGAGTTTTTATTTCTCTGGTATAAATGCTCAAGAGTACAATTGCTGGATCATATGGGAAGTGCATATTTAGTTTTGTTAAGAAACTGTGTATTTTCCAAGGTGACTGTACTGTTTTACATTTCCACCAGCAATATATGAATGATCCAGTTTTATAACATCCTCAACAGTATTTGGTGTTATTACTATTTTTTTTTTTTTTTTTTTTTGCCATTCTGAGGGGTGTGTAGTAATATTTCGTTGTGGCTTTAATTTGCTTTTCCCTAGTGACTAATGATGCCAATTATCTTTTCATGTGCTTATTTGCCATCTTTACATCCTCTTCGTCTTCAGTGTCTTTTGCCCATTTTCTAATTGGATTGTTTGTTTATTTCTTCTGTTGAGTTTTGAGAGTTCTTTGTATGTTCTAGACACAAGTCCTGGTCATTGCTTGTTAAGACAGTAAATACATTTATTAAGCTTTTTTCCTCATCCTTACTTCTCATTTTTCACTGGTGCTTTCTAAATTAATTTCTTTTTGCTCAAATACAAACTTTAAGAACTTGGAAATAGTTTAGCTGGATATAATATTTTGCTTAAAAGTTTATTTCTTTAAAAATTTTAAGGATATTTCTCTCTAGTCTTGCATATGATGTTGAGAAGTCTGTCAGTTTAAATCTTATTGTTTCATAGATTTAGCCTTTACAATTTTCCCTTTCCTGTGATGTCCTTACATTTGATTGTACTAGGTCTAGGTGTGGGTTTAGTAATACAGTCGATACTTCGAGGTCTTTCATCTTTTTAAAATTTTTCATGGCACTGCTTCATTCCTTCTCTTAGGTTTACTTTTTTTTTTTAATTCTCTAAGGATCCTAGCAGACAGATGTTAACGCATCCACTCTCAATATCGTATTAATTTTATTATTTGCATCTGTTTATTCTTTTCTATTGCCTTCAGGAAAGGTTTCTTAATCTGATTTTCCAGGTCACTAATTTGTTCCTCGATTCTCATTGCTTTATTCCATGCATCTATTGAATTCTTTGTTTCAACAATAATATTCTTTATATGTAGTCTCCATTTGATTCTTTTTCACCGCAGTTTATTCTTGTTTCATGTTTCTAATACCTCTCATTTCCTTGAGAGAATACTTATTAAGCTTAAGTTCACTCTGTTCCATTTTTATGCTTCCTCTGGTAAAGGATATTTTCACGTCTGGTCTTTGTTTCAAGGTGTTTGCACTTTTAATTTTCTGTCCTCATGAGCTTATCTTCTGTCACCTTGGAACAGTCAGCTGACTTGGCTACAATGTCCACCTGGAAGGAGGGGTGAAAGCCTAGACCTTAGTCTGTGTACTTCTAAGTGAGCTGAGGATGTATGTGTATGTATGTGCAGGTGCGTGCATGTGTGTGTGCCTATCTGAGGGCGGGGAGCCTCTCTGCCACAGTTTGGGCTCATCTCTTCTTCACAAGAAAAGTACAAGATCTCAAATAAGAATTCGCTTGAATTCCTTCACCCAAACCTGAAAATTTACCTTCACCGTCACCCATCCTTTCCACTGTCTCATTAAAATGCAAGGGATGTTCCTTCTCTTCCTCTTTGGATCTTTAAGCCGAATCCCTCCAAACCGTCCCTTCATCCCATGTCCTCTTGCAGATTCTTCCCTCTACTTCTTTCTCTTGTTATAGTTAGATTTATTGAAGGAATTGTCTGTTTTCACTGTTCCAAATTCTTTCCTTGCTACTTATACCTAGGCAGTTTTCTGTCCCCAGCACTCTACTGAGAATGTCACGGACAGCCTCCTTATTGTTCAATCCAAGGGTCACTTTTCAGTGCTTTTCTTCCTTTACTCTCTGTCGTACTTGTTACTGTTGACTATTCCTTTCTTTCCAAGCACTCTGCTTTGCAGCCCTTCCTCCCTCTGCCCTTCTTTTACGTGTTGGTGTTCCCTACTGTTCTGTCCTAGGCAGCTGTACATTGCCTATGGCTGATCCTATCGTTTGCTATGGTTATATAATGATGACTCTAAAGCTATATCCTATTTTAGATCTCTTTCCTGAGCTTTCAATATCTAGCTGCCTATTTGACTAGTTAACTCTTGCTAATTCTCTATGTTTGAGATCCCATGTTTCTTCTTTTGAGTAGCCTTATCTGACCACTCTCCTATTCCAAAGCCATGTTCAGTGCCCTTCCTATTTGCCCGCTAAGAGTTGTTGTTTCCCCCACTAGGGTGTGAGTTCTGTGAAGGCAGGGATTGTATTTGCTCCTTTTCCATTGTTTCCCTGGTGCCTGACAGTGTCTGATAGTTAATATTTAGTAAATGTATCTTTGCATGAATGACATTCAAATCTCTCTCTTTCCTCTTCTAGTGTCAAATACCAGTGCAGATGGAATGCTTGATTTTCCAAAAACATCTCTTCTGGAACTTATTATAGAAAGAAAAAATGTAATTTCTGTGGATGCTGCTGTGAAATTTACAAAATTAGCTTTTACCTATGAGGAATGGAGTTTATTTGAATCTTCAGCTTGGCAGCTTACTGATTTTCTCCAGGTAATATATGCAAAACCGTTGTTTTTATTTTGTTAAGGTGACATTGAATTACTAATTAACTTGTGGGACTTACTTCTCTTAGAGGCAGGACGATCCCGTGTCAAAGAAAGCAGAGAAGGATTTAACTCTTCTTATTGCAATAGAACCTCTCATCAACGTAAAGAGACACAAAAGTGTGATCTTTCCTTTGGAAAACTACAGAGAAGGACAGTTAGCTCCAATTTATATAAAAAAATGTGCTTTTCATGGTGAGTATTTATTTATCTTTTTGAAAAATTAAGATACTTTTATCTGCTAAAATAGGCTCCTTACAGGTGAAGGGGGAGAAAGAATGTTCAAGGCAGAGGGAGGAGGAAGTGCAAAGGCCCTGAGGCAAGAATGTGCTTGGTTGTTGAAGGAATGGCAAGGAGGCATGTATGGCTGGAGTGCACTGTGGTGGTGGTGGAATTTGAGAATTCTATAGGAGAAGAGGTCAGGGAAGTAGCTGGGCACCAGATCTTGCAGGCTCCTAGGCCTTAAGGATGCTGGATTATATTTTCAGTGATGGTTTTGAGTAGAAGAATGAGACTCTACTTAAGGGCTGCCTTGTTGGTGAGAGGCCAGCAGGGCAGTAAATCAAAAGCCATCAGTTCACTTTGGTAAGGAAGGTTTGATGGTCTCCTCTCTCTTTCCAGTATGCAGAGTTTTCCATTCTATGACTTTTTAGTCTTAAAAGTTATTGTGTATATAGTCAAAAATCTGTGACCTCTATTTTCTCAACCAATAAGAATTATTTAATCCCATGTGTTTTGTGTTCTATCATGTTCTTAAGGCATTGCATGGCTGCTCAACTGCAGTAAATAATTTGTACCAAGTAATGATACATTTTTTTCTAGTGGTTTCTGAATAGAAATATATATATATTTTTTGTGAGGAAGATCGGCCCTGAGCTAACATCTGCCAATCCTCCTCTTTTTGCTGAGGAAGACTGGCCCTGGGCTAACATCCGTGCCCATCTTCCTCCACTTTATATGGGACGCTGCCACAGCATGGCTTAACAAGCAGTGTGTCAGTGCGTGCTCGGGATCCGAACCTGTGAACCCTGGCCCTTCGAAGCGGAGTGCGCACACTTAACTGCTTGCACCACCGGGCCGGCCCCTGAATAGATATTTTTTTGTTATTTTTATTTCAATTGCCATATTTCATATGTGTTTTAATATTATAAGCTTCTTCAGTTCCGTTTTGGATATAATTGGTATTCAATTATGATTAGATTGATCTAAAATTAGTTAGATCTAAAATTAGATTGCAGATTAATGATAGCAATAATAGTCTATTTTAATTGAATTAGGGCCCACTTAGATTAGTTTTCATATTGAAACATTTAAAGTGTCTTATTGATATGATATTTTCCTAGATATCATTTTATTGTCATTTTTGTAGAACTTGTGTGTTTCTATACCTTTTCTATTTGGAATTTTGAAATGGATTTTTTTTGTTTCATTTTCCTCTACTTTATGAATCGAGATACTTGTGAGATGACTGGCAGATACTCAGAAGACATTTTCCATCTGGCAGCAACCTTGTATTCCTGTGTCTGTGCCTCTCCCCAGGTGAAATAGCTATTGTGGATCATTTTTAATAGTGTTGAAGGAGGCTATTATACCTAATTTAAAGCTAGATTGAAAATGTCGCAGGAATTGCACTTTGCCAAAATTCTATGTTGTTTATTCATTAGAATAAGAGATTGAGTTATAGCTTGACTTGTAATTTTAAGTCTCTTTTTATTATTGTTATCATTTTGGGTGTCAATCTGTTCCTCTTGGGGATATTCCTAGGCTAACTATATTTCTAGTAATGAAGGAAATGAAGGTTTTAAGGAAGAGTTAATCTTAATGAAGTACTGCATTTAGTCCATGAGTACCAAGCTGGTTGTCATTTGGAGTCACTTTGCACACAATGGCCAGTATTAAGAAATGACCTCTTTTTGGGTATGAATGTGTAAGTAAAACTAGTGCAGCACTGGTTTTAAAACTGAATTCCAGGGATCCCCAGAGCTTCTCTGAGGTTTCTCCGTGGGCAGTATCACCCTAGCCTGTTTTTATTAGTTGTGTCTACAATGTTGAGATTCTGATGGGATTTCATTTGGAAATTTGGTTTTACTGTTATAAAAAATGTTGGAAAACCACAATTATAGAGCATTGTATTAACTTTTGTTCAAGTAAGAGAAACACAGTAATGGACTTGAGAAGTTCTACTGTTATAATATTTTCTCTATTTCGTCTGGGTTTATTAGATTAAGTTATAACCTCTGATGAGTATTTAATTTTTGAAAGAAAGGTATTTGGTAGCAAACGTAATTATTATAGTGGGAGAGCTAAACCAAAAAACAACAATCAAGGCTGAAAAAGGAAAGAAAATTTCATCTATCTGTTCTTTTAGAAATCATAGATGTCTTAGATCAGTTCAATTCTATTCAATAAACATTTATTGATACTGTTATGTTCCTAAGCAAGGCACTAAGGTACTACATATGCAAATTAAGTCCTACAGCTGCCCCAAAGGAGCTCAGTTTGGTATATTTTAATCATAAACTCATTATCTTTCTAGTTCACATATAATGAGTAACTTCATTTTTCTTCCAAAAAGAGCCAAGTAACTGATTTGAGAGATGTACTCATGCTGGGTCATCTGTTGATACCCACGTGACGTTCTGTTTAGTTTCTTCATGTCTCTCTCCTTGTCTCTATCCTTTTCTAGCTCCCCATTCCCTCTCTCCTACTCGTTCCTCTCCCTCCCACCCATTCTTTATTATTTTAATGTAGGAATTTTAAAAAGAAAAAAGGATATAAAAATTTCAAATTTGGATGGAACTAATTGGTTTACAGACTTGCCTAAAAACGTTTGAGACTTTTCTTTTTAGAGAGGCAGAAGTAGCCTAGAGCAGTCTTTAAGAGTCAGGACTCAAGAGCCAGGCTGCTCGGGTTTGAATCCCAGCTCTGCTGCTTTCTACTCATTTCATCTTACGAAAAACTACTTCATGTTTTGTGCTTCAGTTTGCTCATCTGTAAAGTGGGGATGATGTTAATAGTACTCACCTCAGAGCATTGTTATGAGGATTAAATGGGTTGGTATATGTCTTAGTCCGCTGGGGCTGCTATAACAAAATACCGCAGACTGTGTGGCTTAAACAACAAACATTTATTTCTCACAGTTATGGAGGCTGAGAAATCCAAGGTGAAAGCGCCAGCAAATTTGGTGTCTGGTGAGAGCTTGTGCTTTGGTTCATAGAGGGCTGTCTCCTCACCGTGTCCTCACTTGGTGGAAAGAGAGTGCGAGACTCTGGGGGCCCCTTTTATAAGGGCACTAATCCCATTCATGAGGGCTCCACTCTCATGACTTAATCACCTTCAAAGGCCTCACCTCCTACTGCGATCACATTGGGAGTTAGGATTTCAACACAGGAATTTGAAGACCCAAACATTCAGTCCATTGCAGTATATATAACGCTCTTAGAATGTTGCCTTGCACCCATTAAATGTTACATATCTATATATCTTATTATTCTTATCAATTTACTTTACCACTTTTATTTTCAGAATGTTCAACCTGATATAGAAATTGTTGTGGACACGATAATGTTCCTATGGCAGAAATGCAAATTAGGAATTCAGCGGATCAATGTGTCCAGAAATGACTACGCAAAATTCATCCAGAAAATCAGTACTAATAAAGTATTCCTTTCTGATTCCTTTCACATATTTTTTGTTATTGCTAGTTTAAGTTGGGATGCACATTTCAAATCCAAATTTTTCCTATATATCCACCTGCATATCTGCCATTCTTTAAATGTAGTGCTGTGTGAGCCTTTCTTTTAAATGTGTTCCCTGCACTTCTGCTCCAAGTTAGTTTTGGGGAGTGGGGAGGTGTTTTAGGTTTTTAGGGGAGGAGTAAATATAGTATGTCTAATGTTACATGAGCTTGGATAAATTCAGTAAGAAGGTTAATATTAGAAAATACATACAAATAAGTAAGGAGTTTCGTGTTTTTTTTTTTTTTTTTGCCATAATATATTTAGACTATTTTAAAGAGCTATTTCATGGGAAGGAGAAAGTTGAGCAGGTGAATATTATAACCTGGAAACTTAGGAGAAGATATTTTAGCCATAACACAGTCTCCTGTGATTCTGAGGCCGCCTAAATTAGCTACATTAGGATGCATGGGTGTGATTTTTATCACGTACTCTGATAAAGTAATGATGAGGGTGCATAAATATTATTTTCTCATATTAGCTCCCGAAGTGTGATGGCTGATTTTATGTGCTAAGCTTTGGGGATATAGGCATGAAAGACAGTTTTCAAGGCACCTCACGTGGAGCCTGAAATACCTGCTGCCCCCTCACTATTTTGGCGGACTTTGATAGTGATCCTAACAGCTGCTTTTAGAAAGGAGAATGAGAATTTTGAGGGTACAGATAATCTTCACTGATATATAAAAATAACAGATGTTGAATTTTCCATTATGGCTATAGATATGCAGACCCTACGTTTAAGTGAATCTACTTAATGAAGTTACGTCAACAGACTGATTATTAAATACCATCTTATTAGGGTCACTGATCTTTATATCATTTATGATTAAGATGCACTATTAAGGAGGGAGTACCTGTATAACATTTTCATATGATTAGAAGATGGTGATTTTAAAGAAGTACTAAATTTTGAAAAGTGTGACTATTTCTACAATGTAATGCACTTTAATTGATTTTGCTGTATATATTCTTTTTTTAGTGGGTTTATCTTCTGTGGCAGATAAATGAAATAATTCACTGCTGTAAAATGGAAGACATTGACGTTGTGATGGTGGCAGAGGTCACATTACGATTAAGTGAAATATTGGAGTCCTTAGGAAACCCAAGAGGAAAATTTAAAAAATCTCTAGGTAAAATATTGAGTGAAAAAGTATGAGGTTATTAATATATATATATACACATATGAATATAGAAGTATAAATTGGAATACAGAATGACTTCTAATAGAAACTAGGCATTTCAGTGTTGTGCCTCACTGATGATTTATAATCAGAAATAGAAATAATATAGGTTTAACCAAGTCGATGTTAAAAAAAGGTTATGTGTGGACCAGCCCCGTGGCTTAGGGGTTAGGTGCACGTGCTCCGCTACTGGTGGCCCGGGTTCGGATCCTGGGCGCACACCGACGCACTGCTTCTCCGGCCATGCTGAGGCCGTGTCCCACGTATAGCAACTAGAAGGATGTGCAACTAGAACATACAACTATGTACTGGGGCTTTGGGGAAAAAAAAGGAGGAGGATTGGCAATAGATGTTAGCTCAGGGCCAGTCTTCCTCAGCAAAAAAAAGAGGAGGATTAGTATGGATGTTAGCTCAGGGCTGATCTTCCTCACAAAAAAAAAAAAAAAATGGTTATGTGCTGTATGGTTCAATGACAGACCAAACTCTTTTTGTCTCTTCCTCACTCATGCATTTCCCTTCTCCATTCCTGGTGACTACATGCTCCTCCCCCCCCCCCCCCAATTCTTCCTTTCTCTCGTCTTATCCCCTTTGGTACATCCTCCTCTTCCATTTCCCGATAGAGTGTACATTTCTTGAAGGAAGAGAGCGTGTTTCAGTCACCATTACATTCTTGGCATCCACCACACTGGCTGACACAGAGCAGCTCAAATAAATGTTTGTTGAATGGATCAAAGTCCTTCTACTTTTTATCTCCCTTTTAATTCTCTTGTCTTTTCTGATTTCTGCCTTTAAAAATTCTTCTTCTTAGGGCTGGCCCAGTGGCGTAGTAGTTAAGTTTGTGCACTCTGCTTCGGTGGCTGGAGGTTCATGGGTTCGGACCCCGGGCATGGACTCATGCACCACTCATCAAGCCGTGCTGTGGCAGCGTCCCATGTACAAAATGAAGGAAGATGGGCACAGATGTTAGCTCAGAGCTAATCTCCCTCAGCAAAAAGAGGAGGATTGACAATGGACGTTAGCTCAGAGCCAGTCTTCCTCACACACACACACACACACACACACACAATTTTTCTTCTTTCTTTGTTTATTCTATTTCTCCTGTTCTTTTTCCCTTTCTTCTTGTCTTCTTCCTCTTTTTACCCTCATTTCCTACCCACTCCCCTACTCTCCCTCTCCCAACCCCTTTCTGCCATCATTCTCTTCTCCTCCCAAAAGGTGATTTCTCTCCAAGGATGGCCTTATGCTCTCATCTCCTTGTTTTTTCTTCTGCCTGTGGTTGAACCCCTGTACTCTCTGTTTCATTAGGTAACCGATATGTAGAGAATGAGGTGGGGATGACCACGGTGGGTATCTACTTTCCTATTTCACCCCACTTACAGAGTACGTATGACATTTGGGGGACTTTGTAATAAAGTGATTGTTTTCCCAGAGTCACTAATCTGGCTCTGCCTATCCTTGGTTGTTGAGCATGGCTTTGCAGATGGAGTTTTAGAGCCATGGTTCTCAAACTTTGATTAATATCAGTATCACCTGTGATTAGTTAAAAATACAAGGCACAGGCCCTATCCTACTTCAACTAGCCTGGACCTTTCTAGACTTTATTAGCTTACCAGGTGATTTTGAAATCCATCAAAGTTTGAGAACCACTGGTTAGAGGTCCCTAGCTATCTAACACACTCAATGGCCTGAAGTCATATTTTTTGAAATGTTCTATCTTAAAATGCTTTTTCCTTTTTTATACTTTTATTATGCAGAATTTCAAATATGAAGTAGAGAGATGAAATAAGTCACCATTTACACATCATCTGATATCAATAATTATCAACATCTTACCAATCTTATTTCCTCTCTTTTGGCAACACTTGCTTTTTTCCTGGAGTGACATCATGTCATCTCTACCAGAAAATACCTCAGTATATACATATATATGTTTGTATCTATCTAATAGGTAAGGATTTTTTTTTTTTTTTTACAAAACCACACTGCCATTATTATTATACCTTACAAAATTAGTGAAAATTCCTATGTTCCTGATTGTATTAAAAATGTCTTAAGTTGGTTTTTTCCAATCAGGATCCAAGCAAGCCCAGACATTTTATTTTCTTACAGGTTTCTTAAATCCCTCCTTCTAATCTATAGCAGTCCCTTCTCTCCTCATCCCTTTTTCAAGCTATTTATTTTTTTGAAGAAATTTAATCATCACCCTGCAGGATTTCCCACATTATGGATTTGGCTATTTGTGTCCTTGTGGTGTTGATTAATTTGCTCCTTTGTCTAGTAGTTAGATCTAGAGGCTTCCTTAGATTCAAATGATATCTTGTCAAAAAGAATTCTCGCCAATGCTTTATGTTTTTGGCAAGGATACTTCATAGGTCGTGCTGTTTACTCCCCATTGCATTGAATCAGGAGGCATATAATGCCTGGTTGTCCCACTTTTTGTGATGTAAAGATTTATCATTGAGTTCAGGTGTTGTTAGCGTGACCTTTTCCCTAGGTTGGTTTCCTCAGAAGTAGATTCTGAGACAAGAATTTGAGCGAAATAGTTTATTTGGGATATTATCCAGGGAAGCGGCATGGTGGGGTGGAGCAGTGAGACAGAGAAGTAAAGGAAGCCAATACAAGGTACAGTAAGTTAATGAGAAGGCTACTGTTGTGGGTTTGGGGCTTGTTCTCCAGGCACCTCCAGGAGGCTGTATAGAACATGCCTTAGAGAGCTGGGAGGTTGGGGTATTTATACAACTTTTTCTGTCATTGGTTGAAGGCTACTAGGGGAGTGGGTGTGAGAAGACAGATGGGACTTCTAACTTCTATCATTCCTTCTGCATTTATTATATTAAATTCCTAAATGAAGAACTTACTTCATCAGCTATTTGGTTACTCTGCTTATTTTTGATTGTGTGGTAGACATTACATTTACTAAATATTTTATAGAAATAGTTTGAAGCCTTAGATGATATGTTCTTCCAGAGATTTATGCTTGCTTTTACTAGTTGCATAAAGGCACTTCTACTCCAGGATCCCATTATTCCAACTTGAGAGATTAAGATCTTTTGAAGCTGAGATGCTCTCTTTTTTGACCTTTTCAGTTTACCCTAACTCCTAGGATGCAGCCCCTTCTGCTTCTCATACTTGGTGGACCCTGGATACCAATCGCTGTTCCTTTAGCCCTTCAAGGCTGTCAAAAGCACCACTCCTCTCAACTTCCTTTTCCAGAATTGACACAAGTCCCCAGTGGGAAAAGTAGCTCTAATGCCATTCTATCCTCCCTGGGCACTCTTCCCAAGATCCAGGTGATATTTCCTTCTCAAGATCCTGGCCCTGTATTAATATTTTTGTTATCTTCTTAACTTGCAGGTGAACAAAAAGTGTATTTTTCCGGGCCAGCCCCATGGCTTAGCAGTTAAGTGTGCGTGCTCCACTACTGGCGACCCGGGCTCGGATCCCGGGTGCACACTGACGCACCACTTCTCCGGCCATGCTGAGGCCGTGTCCCACGTACAGCAAGTAGAAGGATGTGCAACTAGGACATACAACTATCTACTGGGGCTTTGGGGAAAAAAAAAGGAGGAGGATTGGCAACAGATGTTAGCTCAGAGCTGGTCTTCCTCAGCAAAAAAAAAAGAGGAGGATTAGTATGGATGTTAGCTCAGGGCTGATCTTCCTCACACACACACAAAAAAAGGTGTATTTTTCCAGCTTTTCTAGTTGTCTCTAGCCAGGAGAATTTTTCCAGATTACCTGTTCTTGGAAGCAAAAGGCCCAATGATTACTTTTTGAAAAAGTCTATTTCTTATTCAATTTTATTGTTTTGTTTACTATTTACTTTTGGGAGACTATTGTTTTATTGTTTTATACTGTTTCATTATAAATGGGCTAAATACAACTTATTTTATTCATTCTTTCCTAAAATCTTTCATTTCTAAAGAACTAATCAATATTGGAGCACAATCCATTTATAAATTTGAAAATATCTACATTTATGTAACGAGGGGTTGTCCCCATTTAGATATATAAATTCTTATAACTTTTCCAACAATGTTATTCTCATCATCTTATTGGCACATAAAGCACAAAGTACAAGTTGTTCTTGGATATTAATTATGGCAATCTACTTCAAGATGTTTATTAGGCTGTTTATTAAGTAATCATTGTTTAGTTTGAATTATTCACTAAATTTTAAAATAGGAAATTAGCATTGCCTTGTAAATATTTATAATTTATATTCCTTTAATTCAAACCAGGCTTCTCTGATATTTGTCCAAATTCATAAGGCTTCTACACTGTTATTTTCTGAATGCTTTTCATTTGACTTTATTGAGTATATAGGAAGATAATCTCTTTAGCATAATATTACCTTGTTGATAATCAAGATTTTTGATTTGGGTTATTGTATTGCAAGATGCTTTAAAATTAACTCATATAAAGGCAAAAGGTAGTTATGTGGAAGAGAGAATTTGGTAGTTAACTTCTAAGTGCTGAGTCATTTCTAAAATCATGGGTAATTACAAAGATAACCAATTTAGTGTAATGTTTTTCATGATTATGATTCATTGCTGTATTTCCATTTTTCTCTTTCCTCCTTTTCTTTCCTTTGGTCCTTCCTTCTTTCCCTTTGTTTCTGCCTCTCTCCTCCACCTCTTTCTCCTTCCTCTCTCCTTCCTCCTTTTTTTCCTCCTTTTCTTTCTTCTCTTCTTTCTTTTCATTCTCCCTTTTTTTCAGAGGCATCTTTAAGGAAAGAGATTGATGACTTCCCTGAGACTCCAAAAGGGAGCCCGAAAAGTCTTCCAATATTGAAGGTATTGCAAAATATTTTAGAAAATTCTGTTAAAGGGGCCGGCCCCGTGGCTTAGCGGTTAAGTGCGCGCGCTCCGCTACTGGTGGCCCGGGTTCGGATCCTGAGCGCACACTGACGCACCACTTTTTGTCCGGCCATGCTGAGGCAGCATCCCACATACAGCAACTAGAGGGATGTGCAACTATGACATACAGCTCTCTGCTGGGGCTTTGGGGAGAAAAAGAGAAAAAAAGGAGGAGGATTGGCAATAGATGATAGCTCAGGGCTGGTCTTCCTCAGCAAAAAAAAAAAAAGAGGACGATTGGCATGGATGTTAGCTCAGGGCTGATTTTCCTAGCAAAAAAAAAGAAACAAAAGAAAATACTGTTAAAACATGAATTTTAATTATCAAATAATATTAAATTTGTGTGTAATGATTAATTGTAGATATAATTTTGAATATTTAAAACTTGAGAATTTATGGTTTCTACATACATTGAGAACTACAGGGACATTTTTCTACCTTTTGCTTTTACTCTAGAAAAAAATCTAATCAGCTGTAAAAGTGAGCTAGATAAAATATCTTAAAAGGATTTATAGTTACATTAGTATTGATATTTTGAATGTGATATGATTCATAGACTCCGAGAGCAGAGATGTCCTACTCAGTCTATGCCTCTAATGGATTCAATGAGTTATTACCTGTTTAAAATGTACTTAGAACAGTCCCTGGCACAGGGCAAATTCTCAGTGAGTGTTAGTTTAAGAGAAGAAAGGGGGTGAGGGAGTTAAGTGGCCATTTTTCTTCTTGATTATGTTTTTCTTACAATATTGGAATTATTTCTGTACATCATGGACTGTGTTGTTCTATAGATCTGGATAGGAGTCAAGGGAACTGTCTCATATATGTAATAAAAATTAATTTATTTATAGGCAAGAACTAGAATGCCATTTTGCTAACTCTGTCCTATGTGTTGCTGGTACTATGCTTCAGGAAAAGGATGCCGTGGTCAAGTAACGTTGGGTGACTTTGGATTAAACACAATAGGTTCCTTACTGGAAGACTTCTCAGAGACATTAATTTGCTTATGAGCACTGTGGTTTTCCAAGAAGGAGATACAGAATACCATATGTTCCATTATTTGAGCATTAAAACCCATTTTACCCTCTATGGAATACCTACTTAGGACACTGGTGTTCATAAACTACAGTTGAAAAATACTTTTCTAGATAGAAAGTCAGTGATCTGTATTTTGGTTTGCCTGATTAATTCAAAATCCATAATTTTAAATATTGAAAATTGTATTAACATTAGAGGACAGTTTGCGGTATCAAAAATTAAGGAAAAAAATCTGTAATTTCACTATATAGACCTAAATATTACCGTTTTCTATATTCTCTCTTAGTCTTTTTCACATTTTTTAACGTCGTAGCATTCTGATGTTTTTTCTTAACATTATTTCGTTAGAACTTTTCCTGTTGCTAAATGTTAATCCTCATGATTACTGTATTTTCTCTGAAAAATTGATTGGAAATATATGACATAAAATTACAAAGAACATTATAATGAAGACCCATTTCCCCATCACTGGCTTAAGAACCAAAACATTGCTAGTACAGTCGGAACTCAACTCTCACTAACACCTCCTGATTGCATTGCCTAGGAGTAACAGCTATTCAAAAAACAGTGATTATAAATTCCAGGCCTTTTAGTACTTTTATTACATACACGTGTATTCTTAGGGAGTAGAGAGTATTGTTTTTGAATTTATATAAATAGTGTCATACTGTGTGTACCCTACTGCAGCTCACTTTTTGTCTCAGTATTGTGCTTGTGAGATTCACTCAAGTTGATTTGTGTAATCATGGTGTTCATTTTCACTCCCCCAAATCCAACTTGCTCAAGGTTGCACAGTAAGCGGATTTGAACTTAGGTGTGTTGCCTTCAAAGTCCAGGCATTTAGCCACTATGCTATGTTGCCTCTTGATTTTAAAAAAGTATCTTCGGGATATTTGTATAAAAGATATTTTTCTAATGCATAAAAAATGCAAGTCCCAAGAAACTTGGTACCAGTCAAGTATCAGGAATGTACTGGAGGACTAGGGGGTCATTCTGAATTTACTTTCTCAAATGAATGTTCATGTCCTAATTATAGGTTTCAGGGAATGCAATTTTAAGTTCTTTATGCTGTCTTGTGTCTTCTGAAGAGAGCTAGAGTTGAGAAATCTGAAGTTGGGAGTGAATGTTTGAACTGCTTAAGATATTGAGGAGGCACAACAGCTGTCTTCCAATGGCTTTTCCAGGGAACACTTACAGCGCTTGCTAAATAGGCAGCTTCCAATTTCCCACTCTAGACATATAGAATCATAATTTCAGGTGTGAGGTTCATAAAAATTTATAATTCTAGGTATGTGCCTCTTTAAAGTTCCCCAAGTAGATTCTTAAGGACACTAGAATTTGAAAATTACTGGCATAGTGGGCTAGCACTTATTCTCTGAGTCTTTATAGGGCAGGAATAGGAATACGAGTAGAAATTACAAAGTGCTAGATTTTGGCTTGCAATGGAAATTTTCTGGCACTTAAAGCCCCTAAATGAAATGGGTTTCTTAGTAGATAGCAATTTTCCCATAATGAAGAAAGTGAAGACCATTTATGAACTATTGCTACTTTTATTTAAATTAGAAAATGCACCCTTTCCTCAAGATAATTTATTGCCATCTGCTGGGGAATTGTCCACATAAATATACAAGTCTATGATGACAGCAGTGTGAATGGCACCCCCTAAAACTGTGCCATACACAATGAGCCCAGCTGTATTGGGGCACATGGTTGATGTAGTAGAGGAGATTCACTGGTGTGGTCCAAGGGCACAGCAGTTATTATTACAAGACCTGGAGTTGAGTCCTCACTCTGATATTGACTGTTTGTGTGATCTTGAATGAATTATTTCATTTGTTTGAATGTAAGTATCCTCATCTGTAAGATTATAATAATAGTACCAATTCTACTGATACTATTTAAATTATACAGTTTAAATGAGATTTTGGTAACATGGTAGCAACCAGTACCTGGCACATGCTAGCTACTCAGTTTTTCACTTATGTTTCACATAGAGCACTGAATCTCAACCTAGGGTCTCAGAACCATCTGGAGGGGAGTGAAGTGGGGAGAAGGAGTGAGACTTTATTGTAAGGAGAGTCCAAAATCCGTATGCTCACCTAGCAGAGTCTGTAGGTGGGATATATTATATATTTTGCATATATCCATACAACTATGTGCTATTGTGATTACATAAAAAAACTTAGAGTTTTACTGAATACATAGCAGCTATTTTTTCAACAAATAAATTATAAAATTATGATAATTAATGAGATCTACCTCATAGGGCAACCGCAATTAAAAAATTAATCCATGTAAAGCCTTTAGTCCAGTACCTAGAACATATTTTAATTAAATGTTAGCTGTGATGATAACAAAGATGGTAATAAAGATGATGGTGGTGATGATGATGGTGAATGTGGGTGTGTGTGAGGTCTTTGAAATTTTTTGATGTTAAAAATGTATCCTTAGAGACTTCTGTTTCTGGAAAAACAGCAAACTAGATGACAAAACACATAGGAATTTTAGACAGAATTGAAGAGATATCCTCAAGCACATTGCAGAGTTCACAAGATGTAAGGTAAGTCCCAGGGGCCAAACTAGAAAGGGGAATTGAAAGCCAGAATGGTAAATTTATGAGTAGGTGCTGCGGTAGGTTGATGGGCTCAGTTACAAAGAAGCTTGGATTAACAGGCATCCAGGGACAAGAGATGAGGCTTGAGCACATGAAAGATGGGGGCTTGGAACTGAGACTCACACATGAAGTTAGAACCTACAGAAGGCTACATTCTAAAAGAGGTAGACTAGAAAAAAATCTGCCTATTTGCATAGGGAGATATCTCAATTTGGGTACTGAGAAATGGAGTGGATGGGGGAAAGTCTCTCTTCCTAATGATTTATCGTCTTGGGCCTGCCCTCACATAGATCTATATGAATTTACACTACTTGGGTTACTCAGGGAACCTCCCTGAGCCTGTGATTCTTGAATGGAGATATACGTATCTCATTGTATCTTGAATGGATATATGTAATCAAATTGTGTATATTCCAGGAATGCTAGGATGATTTAACATTAGAAAATTATAATGTAATACACCACATGAGCAGATGAAAGGAAGAAAAATATGACCACCTCACTAGATAAAGAGAGGCAACAAAAGCGTTTGACAAAATTCGACAACCATCTTTTAAAAAAATAACTGTTAGGAATAGAAGAGAACATCTGTATCCCATAAAGGGTATTATCTGAAGACCTTCAATGAATGTTATACCTATGGCAAAAGATTAAAAACAGGCCCTTAACTGATGTAACAACATAAGGATATCTGTCATTCTGTTCAACATGACCTAGAGGTCTTAGGCAGCTGGGTAAAAAAAGAAAGCAGAAAAAAAGATGTAACTTAAAAGGAAGTATCAACTTTGTCTTCATTCACAGACGAGTATAATATGTTGTACATTTTTAGTAATAGCAATCTAAATGTCCATCAGTGGAAGGGTGGGTAAATAAATTGTGACATATTCCTCAGCGTAGCACGATTTCATTGTAGCCGTGAAGATGAATGAACTAGAGTGGGCTTAAACTGGAGTCAACTTAGCATCATTGCCATCCCCTTCTGTAGTCACCTTTCCAGTACATTTCCCAGCATCTCATTTCCCTATGGTTCTGGGTTAGTCTTCCAATGAGGGGTATTTGCATGAACTTGTAATACAGAAAGGAGTAGAGAGTCCCTATTCTGCAGTAGTGGCAGGAAGAAGTTAATTTGCCAGCTCTGCTGAGCAAGCTCTTGCAATTCACTTGCTTCAGTGCAGTAGACACTTGAGGTTGTTGTCAGCCGCCTCCTAGATTCTTAGATTCACAGAGGCTTCTGCATGCAGCAAAATAGTCACTGGCAGCTTTCTTGAGCTTTGCTCCCCCAGGTCTTCTAATGGGGATGGACACCTCTACTTATGTGTATTAAATCTCTTTCTGCTTGGAATATCTAGAGTCGTTCTGTGTTCCTAACCAAACCCTGACTGACACATTGAGTTACATACACCAGCATGAAAAATTTTCAACAACATGTGGTTGAGTGAAAAAAGTAAACTGCAGAGGCCAGCCCAGTGGCGTAGTGGTTAAGTTTGCGTGTCCTGCTTTGGCGGCCCACGGTTCGCAGGTTCATATCCTAGGCACGGACATATGCACTGCTTATCAAGCCGTGCTGTGGCAGGCATCCCCCATACAAAGTAGAGGAAGATGGGTGCAGATGTTGGCTCAGGGCCAATTTTCCTCAGGAAGAAGAGGAGGATTGACAATGGAGGTTAGCTCAGGGCTAATCTTCCTCACAAAAAAAAAAAAAAAAAGAGAACTGCAAAATTTTATGAGAGAATTAAAAAATATGCAAAGCAATATTGCATATTGTTAGTGGATACATACACATGTACTTCGTAAGAAATACAGCATTGTTGATGTTCGATAGACTATTTAAATTTTCGTTATTTGGTTTTGAATTGTTGTTAAAAGAAGTTTAGAAATGTTGCATATGATTTTCCCTTAAATTTTCTTTTTCTTTTTTGTTTATAAAATTAGAGAAAACCTGAGGAACAGTTATTTTTGGCTTATGAACTTATTGACAAAGCAATTGATGGAATAAATTTGAATTTCATGTTAACTACTTTGCCAAATGGATCATTAGTGATTGACCACTGCTATGCTAAGGTAAGAATGGGAAAATCTTACATTAGGTTGAAGTTTTACTTAACTAGGAAGAGGGCTGGCCTTGCAAGTAGGCAGTAAAGCATGATTTGTGGTGGTTTCCTTCTCATAGGCTAGAAACATATTCCCCTCTTCCCAGATGAAATCAAGAGTGAGGAGTCTTTGAATTTGTTATTGAAGAGGCTGTTGATGAATTCAAAAAGCAGATTTATGAGTGCGTAAGACAGATTGCAAAGGGTTGAGAAGAATTTAATGGCTAAGAGTAAAATGATAACTTGAGTGATAATAGGATACAGCTATATTTAGTATGCTTTGGTAACTGTATTTCTTTTTTATTTTTACTTCAACCCTACCAAAGTACACCCATGATATAGATGGAGACATTTGCAAACCAGTCACACCAAATAGTTTCATAATGGATTTGCATCTCGAACTAATTCAAGCCCAGCACCGAATAGCTGTTGTGCTTCTTGATCAGTTGCAAGGTAAGAGTCATCAAAGCAAATAATTTGTTCTGAATCAATTTTAAGACAAGTTCAAGTAAAGAATCAATTTAATTTGTAAATTATGTTCTTGTTGACTGGCTGTTTTCCAGACAAATTTCATTATTTTTTTTCTTCTCTGATTAATATCAATGGATACCTTTCATTATTTCTTTACACCTTGCATAGCAAATCAGTTAGTAAAATTATAAAAAAGTTTAATTAATTATGATTGTTTGAGTTATAGTAAATTATTGATATTTTGTTAATTCAATCAAGCAAACATTTATTGAGTGTCTACCAAGATCCAGGAACCATATTAGGCTTGGTCCAAATAAGACACAGCCTCTACTTTTGAGTTTCTAGATAAGGAAGCCAACTATAACAGTCGAGGTTAATAAATGTAGTAGAAGTGGGCTCAGAGTGTTTGTTCTGGGCACACAGAAGAGGACTGTCTCTATTAGACAAGAAAGTCAGGAGTGGCTTCCTGGAAGAGGTGATAGTTGATCAGAAAGCTAGTAAATATTATCTTTATGGAAATGGAAAAGGAAGCCATTATTTTGGACAGAGAAAATAACCTTTAGCAAAGTAGAAGCAAACCATTGTATGGTGCAGTTTAGGAACTGCTGGAATTCTCTTGTGGCTGGAGTAAAAGCACACATGGGGAATGACACAGATAAGCTTAGAGAGGTAGATTGCGGTTAGATCCGGAAGGGCTAATGGGTTTCTGTTTTATCCTCAAAGCTATTGAAAAACTTAGAGAGACACCTCTGACAGCAGTGTGGACAGATGAGTTGGATCTAAGTTATTTTTGCCTTATTATTAGGTAAAGAGGTCAAAATATTTTTAAAAAGATGCCAACAGTAATACAAATAACACATTTACTTGAGTTTCAAAATAAGATTTAGTATCCTTAGGTCTAAAAACTCTTCTGTTTGAGGTTAAATTTTGATAAAGCCAAGTTATTCTTGGCATGATTATATAGCCAATATTCATATAACTAGCATTTTTCCTTTCAAATTACTGAGTAATTATAGAATAGAGCTGTGTTCTGGCCTAATATGACCTCTGATCTCCATCTAAAGCATTCAGATGTCACATCATATATCCAGCTAAATAGATTTAATCAGATGCTGATTAATTAGTTAATTAATTAATTAAGATAGGGGTCCAATTTCATTCTTCTGCTTATGGATAGCCACTTTTCCCAAAACCATTTATTGAAGAGACTATCTTTTCCCCATTCTAGTATTCTTGGCTCCATTGTCAAATATTAATTAAATGTATATGTGTGGGTTTATTTCTGGGCTCTTGATTCTGTTCTTTTGGTCTATACATCTATTTTTATGCCAGTACCAGACTGTTTTGATTACCATAGCTTTGTAGTATAGTTTGAAATCAGGACGTATGATGCCTCCAGCTTTGTTCTTTCTCAGACACTTTGTCCATGAAGGGATGCTGAATTTTTATTGTTTTAGTGGGTGGGTGGGGGGACAAAAATGAGAGATGTCTTATGCTGCCATGCTGACATTACCCCTCTGTCATCTTCTTCCTTAATCTAGAATAATTCCTTTAAACTTTTTTTTCTTTTATGACATATTTTTGAAGATGTTCCTAGAACATCCTACAATCTAAGTTTCCCTGGTAATTTTCTCGTTGTTATACAGGTGATGTTGTGTACGTCCCATTGTGTCACATTAGGCTGCACATATTGTTCTTTTGTTCTATCATTGGTGAGGCAAAGTTTTAATATTTTGTTAAGGTGGCGTCTGCCAGATCTCTTCATTGTAAAGGTACCTTTCCCTCTTTATAGTGAAAAAATAATTGTATTGTCAGATGATGCTTTGAGATAGAATGAGTGTCTTATTTCCCAACGGATTGTCACCCAATGGTTTTAACTTCTATTGATGATCCTTCTGGAATCAATTGTTACAATGGTTTTACATGGTGATTTTCTAATTGAACTATTCCTGCTACATTTATTTGCTGACATCCTTTGTAAAGAAGAGCTGTCCCTACTTTGCCCCTTTTAATTTTTTGAGTTATTCTATGGATTGAATTTCTTTCTTTTTTTGTGTGTGTGTGAGGAAGATTAGCCCTGAGTGAACACCTGTTGCCAATCCTTTTCTTTTTTTTTTGCTAAGGAAGATTGGCCCTGAGCTAACGTCTTCCTCTACTTTGTGTGGGATGCCTGCCACAGCGTGGCTTTATGAGTGGTGCATATGTCTACTACGCCCAGGATCTGAACCTTTGAACCCTGGGCCACCAGAAGTGGAGCATGGGAACTTAACCACTACACCACTGGCCCGGTCCTGGACTGAATTTCTTTTCTGTTAAATCTTTTAAAATCAGTTACTATTATTGTTCTTTCTGATGCTCAAAGTCACACATTTTGCCAGTGAGAGGCCTCAAAGTGGATTCTGTGTTCTTTTGATATGTCTCCATTATTCTTTGCACAATTTCTTGCTTTCTGCACAAGAAAATTTTCTAGACCTACCTTATGCTTTATCTACCCCAGATCTGGAATCAGTCATGTTTCTAAAGATCCTTGGTTCCTTTTGGTAGGAAATAGTATTTAGAAACCAAGATCTGTGAGTGAGGAGTGCTCATTGCTATTAGGATGTCAACTAGCTTGTTTTAGTTGATAGAGCTAAGTATATATATATATATATATATATAT